TGGGGCTGGCAGCATTTGTCCTGCCTAGCTGTGTATCCCACCAATGCTCAGCACCCCACTCCAGTGCGTGCTGGAGAGCCGCTGGGAGAGGGAACGCTACACCTTGCCGTGGGGGACGAGCACCAGGAGCTCCTGGGGTTTCATGGTCTTGTTCCACCATGTACCCACTGGATATTTTGTTATTTCCTCCCTGTTCAGCAGTAGTTTTGTCCCCAGGGTGCTCTGTGCCTCAGTTTCCCCATAAACACCCTGCCCTAATGCACTTTCTGTAGGGAGGGCACCAAGCAGCAGTCCTTGGGTGGGTGGATGTGCTTTGTTGGCAGTGACCAGCTGAAGGACAATCCCAAAAGCTGCAGGTGAAGCTGTACCACCAGCACTGTGTCCCCCAGCCTCCTTTCTCCGCTGTGCTGTGTCTGACGGCTCCCCGGCCCGCTACGCATGTGAGCCACCCACCTGCCCTTCTGCACCAGGTCTCAAGTGAAGGTTTGCATGCAGAGGGGCAATGGACCTGGCCCATTTGTAGGTCAAGGACTTCAAAGCCAAGGGGGGGTGGCATTATCTCCTGGGCTGCTCCTTGTCCTGGCTGTGCTGCAGAGCCCAGTGCATTGCTTGCTTCAAAGGCAGGAGGTTTCCTCCAAAGCCCGGGGACCGCAGCCACTTGCCCCCGTCCTGTCATCAAGGGTGGGAGGCTTGGCTACCGCGGTGCCACCGGCGCGTTCCTTGTCCTGTCTGATGTGAATGCGGGGCAGCACTACAGCCGGCGACGTCTGCCGTGCTTCAGGCAAGTGTTTTGGAGGAACAGCTGGATTTTCAGAGCAGTCCGTGGTGGAGGATGTCACTTGTACCTGTCTGGCTTGGGAACCAGGCACGGCCGAGATGGCAGGGAGTGGAAATGTGCAGCAGGCAGGCTTACCAGGGTCTACGGCTTTTCGTTTGTCTTATTTTCAATCGTCTTCTCGCCATCTTTCGCAGCACTTGGGTTGGAGCACAGGGCTTCATTTGCAATTCAAGCCTGCAAACCCTGAAACCCAGAATGAAAATTCATCCTCCGGTATATGGCTTCAGTGCCGTGGGGAGGCTCTGGGCTCTGCACAGCCTCTTCTCTGCCTCCTCGTCACTAGTGTTCCCCCACCTTTGGCTGATGTTCCCCAGCCTCTGAGAAGAGTTGACCTCATTGTCATCTCCAGGTTCCCACATCTGGTTCTCGTTAGCAGAACCCAGGATGAAGGTCTTCAGCTCTCTCCCTTCCTTCCACCCCCAGGTGACCCAGGCAGGATTATGGGCGATTAGAAGACAGGCAACAGAGCAAGACTAGGTGGGGGAGGGACTGTTATAAATAGAAATACCATAAACTTATCAGCCTATCACTCGAGGTAAATTCTGGTTTTAATCTCTCAGACCTGTAAATATGACAACTCACGGGGCCCAGACGCTGTTAACTCTTTCTGAGCCCCAGGGATGCGTGCCCATCGCTGATGGGAAGTGGGATGCGGCAGAGCACCTGAAAATGGGACGGGGAGCAAGCTCCTGAGCTGAGAGGATGTCACCAGGAGGGACGAGCTGGCAGACCCACACCATCAGAGCAGGGGCAGGGAGGAGACGGCAGCACGGGAAGCACCTCCGTTTGGATGTAGTTCTTGTTTGGAGGTTTGGGGAAGGCAGAGAAAACCAGTCCAAACATTGAGATTCCTGACATTCTCACACGTACGGGGGCCTCTGCTCACCCAGCTCTGCTCATGAGGAGGGTGCTGCGGGTTTAACATCTTCTTGTTCTTCAGGCAAAGTTTACTTTTTGGGGATCTCCTCAACACTTTTGTGAGGGATCAGTTAGAAAGCAGAGTAGATGGAGGGGTGACATGGTGTGAGAGCAGGGTGGCAACACAGGGGCCAAGAGGAGGACAGGACAGAGGGACCTGGGAAGTTCGGGAGTTTCTTTGCAGCAGCACCAGCTGAAGGAGTTGTGAAATAGAAGTTTGTCCTGGAACAGTTTGCTCTGAGAAGCCTCCATGTTTGTACAAGGAGGTCAGAGTGTTAGAAGGGGCTGAATTACTTGTCCTGGTACCCTCCTGCCCTGGGATGTTCAGAGAACACTAATAAGCTGGTTTGCAAGACGGTGTTCTTTGGGCAGCTCTGCAGGTGCTTGCGGCACCTCTCCCAGCTTGCTGCTCTAGGTTGGATGGCAGAATTCATCCTGCTGAGCTCAGGACATCAGAGGGGTGACAAGAGCTCATGGCAGGGACGTAGACAGAAGATGCTCTGTGGGGATTGCTGCTGTAATTCCCAAAGTGAGAGGGCGAGCACTGGCAGCACGAGGCAGCTCAGAGCTTCCCTGGGCTCCTCCGTCTCTCTTTTGCTGGGATGAGATGTGGGAATCCATCTCGTGCGGAGCCGTGCGGGTGTTGAGCTTCCCAGGGTCCCTCCTTGGTGGCTTCCTGCTTCCTCCTAATCCCCACTTTGGAGGGGGAGGGAACATTGTTAGGGTCGTTTGGAGCTCGTGACTCTATGGAGGAGTATTAGCTTTTAATTAATCACCTAAGCTGGCTTTTGGTAAGAGCCCGGCCTGTGTGGAAGCTACAGGCGGTGGGACATTCCTTGTGCAGGTTTACCAGCGAGCCCCACTGCCCTGACATCCCTGTTTCGCCCTGGCTGGTGCAAATGCCTCTGTCCCCAATCAGAGGAAAGTCCTTTATTTTTAGTGGGCAGCCCCTTCCCACTGCACATGCGCAGCTGGACCCCTCCACGGCTGTTATCACACCTCAGCTCCACAGCAGCACGGCTGACGCACCTCCCGCGTCACGGTGTTTATCTCACCCTTCTCCTGGGTCTCAGCTGAGGGCTTCTGAAGGTGACTTCTAAGACAAGGTAGCAAAGAAATAGGAAAGCCCAGCTGTATATTGAGGGCCTCCTGTCCTTTCTGGATAGGTCTTGGACTCCTCTTCTACCATGTAGAAGCTCCTGGAGTTTGGAGGTGTGAGGGAGACCCACTGGGGTCAGACTTTTCTTGGGTGGGCTCAGTAGCTTGTGGAAAGGCAGGGACACTGGTAAAGTGGGTTTTTTGCTTCTTTGAAGCTGAGTCCCAACCTTGGAGCTTGGGATGAAGACAAGTTTTCTGATAGCTTTAGTGGTGGATGTTTGCCAAATGCATCACGTGGTTTATAGCACGGTCTCTTTGGCCGGGACCGTGGCAGCAGGGAGTGCTCACCCCTTGGCAGAAGGGTTTCAGCTGGTGTTAAGGGGTCACTGTGGCCAAGAAGTGGCTGTTGTAGAAGAGGGGCCTTGGTAGAGCTGCACGTGGTGAAATGTTGGGAGCAGGCTATAGCAGAGGTCCTTGGGGATGAGCGTGGTACCCAAGCACCCATGGTGCTGGCCATGGGTGAGCTCTTCAAGTCAACCTTAAATCGAAGCAGGACAATGGCATGGGTGCTACCACATCACTGCAACTTCAGGAGAGGCCATGGTTGTCACAAAGGACTACCCCTGTGCTGACCTGAGGTCTGCAACTATATAAGCAAGGTGCTGGCACAGCTCAGGACCTCTGGGCTCTGCCTGCTCTGCTGTCTTCTCACCACGATGCTAACCTGGCAGCAGCATCACAAGTCCTTGCTCCAGATGCATCTTTTCATAGCAAGAGTTCACATGACAAAGCACCACCACCTTCTCCCCCAAGTTCTCAGGCTTTGCAACGGAGGCTCATGGTGCACAAAGGGTTAGGTGTCTCGCAAGTGAATGGCTACCCAGGTTTTTTTCCCTCTAGCCAGGGTTACTAAGGGAGAGATCCCTCCATCCGCGCACACACCCTGTCCGTTTGGCAGAATTCCTAGCTGGATTTATTTCTGCCGATTTGCTTGTCTTGGTATGAAAGGGATTTGCAGAGGGGAGAGCTGCAATTGGCTGGGGGTGGGCTGAAACCCCCTGTTCTGGGTTTTTTTGCGGTTCAGCGGCTGACCTTTCCCTGGCGCGCACAGTCTGCGGGGGGAGGCGAGGGTCAGGGTCTTCTCCTGGGCAAGGGATGTCATGCTTTAACGTGGAGCCATGGGCTCTTTCAGGAAAGGCCATCTTCGTTATCTGAGCCTGGGGAGGTGGGGGGAGCTGGGCCTTCTCTTCCACTTTCTTGGCAGTGTCTTTGGCACCGAGGGCTGGCACCGACCCCAGAGGGCTGCAGACTCCCACTTCAGAGAGACAGATAAAGAAAGCACTTTCTGTCAACAAAACCCAGCCCAGCTTCCCCAGCACAGGAGAGCGGAGGAGGAGCTCTCTGGGAGAAAGGAGAGGGAAGTCCACCACTTGCCCGTGTAGGAGAGGAGAGGGAGGAGGGCTCCTACGGGGTTGGGAGCTGATCCAGAGCTGTCATGGCAGCAGCGGAGACATTCCAGTGCATTCTACAAAGCAGAAGGAAAGGTCCAAAGGGAAGGAAACCATCTTTCCCAGAGCACCCCCTGAGCCCACTCTTACAGCCCTGCTTCTGCAGGGGTTGCTCTCTCCTGCGGCTGCAAAGGGGAGCAACCATCAGCCCTGGCGAGGCCAGTGGCTCTGGCAGCTTTGCTGACAAAGCTGTTGCAGGCCAAGTCAGCGCCAAGTTGTTGGTGGTGGTTGGGCAAGACCTGGCTCTCATGCTCTGTGGAGCCATCTGTCTTGCATAGCTTGGGCTCAACCCCATGATCTCCCTTCTCCCACGTGTTCTGAGCCCGGCCCTGCAAAGCCCGTGTGTCCCACAGCCGGAGCGTGGCTTCCAAATTGTTGGAGACAATCCCCACCCATGTGTCCAACTTCGCAGGTAGCATCGCCACCCTGGCTTGTCCCATGCGCCCCATCTCTTTCTGGTTTTACACTGGGATGCCGAGGGGTATGGATGGATGGCAGCCCTCAAACTGAAGGATCTGCTGATCTTCTCAGATCAGTTTCTTGACTCTGGGAAAGTCTGGTGGTGTTTCTGACCTGCAAAGCAAGGGCCTTTCATGTTCCTCTCATGGCTCATGCTTTTACCTCCTCTCCCCTCGCAGGCCACGACATTAATGGAGCTCTGGAACCATCTAACATCGACACCAGCATCCTGGAAGAGTACATCAGCAAGGAGGACTCACCAGACATGTAAGTGCTTCCCTTGCTCCGCAGCAGGAACAGCGTTCACTGTTGTTTTCTGTGGAGAGATGAACAATTTCCAGCCCTACAATTTGAGGAAACATTTAGAAATCACTGTGCACCCTGGCTGCGCCTCTGTCCCTCCTGGAGTCCTCCTTTATTGCTCTTTGCTTCCTTACTCATTTCCAGTTCTTCCTCATGTCTCTTCCTGGCTTCTTGCCTTTGAATTTCTCCAGTCTCTTCTGTCCCCTCTCTTTCTGCTCCTGAGGGGACAGCAAGACTTTTCCTTAATTTGAGCAACGGGAAAGCAAACACTAGGAGCTCAGTGTGAAAGATTAAACCCCCAGCACGACGCAAGTGTGGAGAAGGGAAGGATCTCCCTGTGTGCACTGACATTGTCCAAGCAGGGGGAGCAGGCCCAGGTAGCACCCAAGGTGATGTGGGCCATGGGGTGGGAGCAGGATCACTGGGACTGATGGGACAAAGCACCTTCCCTATGCTAGTCTGCAAGCTGAAGCACGGTGAGCAGATCCTGCTGTCTTCACAAGCTTTGAGGTTGGTGTCCTGGGCACTTCTGGCCTTTTACAGTTCCAAAGGTGGATTTTACACCCTTGGGGTTGCATCGGTCCCACCAGCCCAGACCACTGACCTGCCTCCCTGTACGCTCCTGCTGGTGCCACCACAATGCTGCCTGTTTTGCTATTTTCTGGGTGTCCCAGAGCACCCGAGTGGCTCCGTCCCCATTGCTGCGTGGCTGGGGAGGGGAGGGGTGGGCAGAAAGCACCATCTACCTGTCCCTCTGTTGAGGTTGTCCCCTTCTCTCCCTCAGCTGTTTCCCCGACATCCCCGCTTCAGCCAGCTATGCACACCCCCAGCCCTCCAGCTCAACCTCCATCAACGCGCCTCTTGCCAGCTCCATCGCCAATGTGACCAACCCCGCTTCCAGCGGTTCCCTCCACCTTCCTCCCCCGGGCAGCCAGATCCCAATCCGGCATGGTCCTCTTCTGGCCAACCCTTGCGGACCCGGCTACGGTGCTCACCTCAACTGCAATAACAACAATGGCATGGTGGTGCCCAAGGGCTACCTTGGCGGCCACTGCCTAAACAACGTGGTCCCTCCAATCAAATCAGAGCCCAAGGCCTCCTACGCACCTGGGTAAGTGGGGTTGGGGTGGCAGAACAAGAGCAAATGGTGGGACAAGTGCTTCTCCAGGCTGGTGGGACCTGGAGGGTTGGTGTAGTTTGGCCCACAGTGCCCTAACTGATGGCAGCATCGGTCTGTATCAAGCCCTTGCTTCGCAGAGAGCTGCTTTTTTTGACAAGTGTAGGTCCTGAAGTTTCCTGAAAGGTTGTTTGGTAGATCTTGTCTGTCTGCATTGAGTTGGAGAGGATCCAAGGAGCATTCCCTGTGTCTGCAGACTATGGCGGTGCTGTTGGCTCTGGGTGACCAGGATATCTATGCTGCACATCTACAAGTGTGTCATGGGAGAATATTATAGCACTGTATTTTTTTTTAAGAAGGAAGAGACACAGAATAGATTTGAACAAGACAAAATTCGCTCTCCAGGATTTTCCCATGACTATCCCAGGAGAAGTTCTTAACTAAATTGGGCAGAGACATGTACTTCTCTTGGCCTGATGTTGTAGATACTCCACTCAAGTGAAGAAAAAGGTGGCATCTGATCTGGACATGTACTCCTTTGCAACGAGCTCTAGATGTGGACCTGGTGAAGGGGGAGGAAGATGGCCAAGTTTTAGTGCTGCTGGTGAACTCAGCTGGACAATTCATCCTGGGAGGAGAAAAGATGGGGTTCTGTCTTGCTGGGATGGCCTTGCCCAGAACAGTTAGGAAGAGAATGGCCTTAGCAGGCTGGGAGAGTGCAGCGATATGGCATCTGCTGTCTGCAGTGGCCAAAGGGCCAGACAGAAACTGTGTCAGTAGAGAACAGTTTGGCAGCCACAGCATGCTGAGGGGACATGGCCCTACTGTGGTGTCTGGGGTAGGAGCCAGCATGTCTGGAACTTTACTGCCTGGAGACCCAAAGGGGAGAACGTGTCTCATCTCTTCCTCTTCATGCACCTCACTGCTCCACGCTGCTCTCCCCCAGTCACAAGGAAGTGAAACAAGATGATCCGAAGCTGGACAGATGAAAAATCGAAGCGTGCAGCAGCATATTGATCACCAGGAGGCCCCGGCGGTTGGCCATAGTAATACGAGGAGCTGTGCCATGGTCCAACACATCCCAGCAGCAGAGGTGATGGGTGGCCCCGATGCTCTCTCTGCACAGCCAATCTCTGCACTTTCTCCAGTGGAGATGGTGGATGTAAGGGACAAGGGGGTCAGGATGGCACCAGGGCTGCTCATCTCTGCAAGCCCCTGTCTGGCTTTTCTCCCTCTGCCTTGTGCCCTCTAGTGTTACCAGCAAGTACGGCCTGGCGATACCAGATCTGGAAGCCTCCAGCACACTGGACCAATCATTCAGCCATAATGCAGCTCCGTTGGGATGACTTTGGCCCTTTGGATGAACTTGGAAAGATCTTCTAGGAAGAGAAAAGCTAAACAAAATCTGCCCTTATTTTATTCCCAGACCAGGGAGTTCTCCCTTGCTGTGTACCCGGAAAGCTGCATGCAACTTAGGAGCAACCGTGCCCAAAAGCTTGATGTGATGCCTTGTCATGTCCCTTTCTTCTGCATGTATCTGGCGTTCTCCAGGGTCTGAGAGGTCACGAGCAAGGATCATATCTTGCTATTAGAGTTGGAGACCTCAGTCTGGATGTAGATGAACTGGGTCAGCTTTGATGGCAGCGTTTCTTCAGCATCCCAGAATGACTCTTGCCCATTGTACTAGGCCTTCCCCAGAGGAGCAATGTCTCACGCATTGGACATCAACAAACCCTTCCCTTGGACTGCGCACATCCATGCTACCTCCCTATGTGAATTCTGCAGTGTCCACCTTTCTGCTCCAAGGCCTTTTCCAGCCTCCAGGATTCCCTGAATTGTCCCAGGCCCTTTTGTTGTTGTCTAAAACTTGGCTTGCTAAGTCACAAATCCTGATAAATTCGCAGGAAATATAGTATGAACTCATAGCCAACATGGCAAAGAGACTGGAAATAGGGCTGGTAGTAGATGCTCCAGACCAAGCATGGGAGTGGTGGAAAGATGCTACAAGTGAAGGTGGAGGATGAGGGAAGTATGGTGAGAGCTGTTTGTTGGCATTACCCTACATCATTCCTCTCCAGCTGTGTACCACTTACCATGGAGAACCCATTTACTGGGTCTTGGGCTCCTCTGGTGCAGGAAAGGCCTGGTGGGTGTCCTGGTTCGCGGCTGTAGCTGTGGGTGCCATCAGGAGCAGAGTTTGAGAGGTATGCACGTGGTGTACTGCACCTTTCCTCCCCACAGCCTTAGGTCCTCGTTGGCTTTTTGAGCAGCTTTCGTCCAAGAAGCACTGGTTTGTCTGGGATTATTTTGCAGCCACAAAGCTGATGGTGTAAGATGGGGGAATAGAAAAGGATCCCCACTGAAAATCCACTTGTGATGAGGAATGAGGTGTCAGGAGATGGGGAAGAAAACAGCCGTGTTTGTCTTGGATGGAGCAGACTTTGCCGAGGTGCTGGGCTGCTGAAACCCTCTGGGGCTTGCTGAGGTTGCGTGTCACCAGCGATGGAGAAGATGTGAATGGACAGACAAGATATCTCTCTGTCAAAGATGTCCACAGGTCAGAGCATTCTGCAGACATTAAGGTGAAATGAGCCTTTCTCTAGAGCCCAGACAACGGCTGCTCCTGCCACCAGAACCACCATCTCCCTGCCCATCTCTGCTGCAGCTTTGACTTGCAATGCCCATGGCTTAGTCTAACTGGGAACAGGGCCTCAACTTTTTCTGTGCATTTGATCTCCGAAATGTTGCTAAAGAAAAAACAGCATCTGAGACAGGCAAGCCTTTTACTTATACATCAGCATGGTAGAAATTCTACCCTCGCCTGCTGAAGATGTGTGAGGCTGAAGCTTCTGCTGCAGTGGGATACATGTTGAGGAGGGGCTGCAGGAAGAAAAAAGAAAAATTGGTTCAAGTGAATTTCCAAGGAGGTGCTTTGGAAATGGCTGAAGAGCCCAGCTGCCTGGAGTCTGTGCTGGCTTGAGATAAAATAAAGAAGGATTCAGGAGCTAACCGGCTGCCTGCAGTGCATCTGCGCTGCCACCGCATGTGACAGGGCTGGTCCCCAGCCCTGCCATCCCTGAGCCGTGGGTGTGCTGGAGAAGGCATCTGAGAGCTCCCCCTTTTTATTTGGTTGCATTTCACAGTCAGGGCCAAATCCTGCTCCTGGTCACATTGGAGTAGAGCCAGGGTGATACAGCCAGCAGCTGTGGTGGTGCTCAGGTTCGTACAGGTCACAAGGCAGAAACCATCCCATGGGCTTCCGAGCCTTCACTTTGGTGCATCAGATCCCAAGTCCCATCCCAGCTCCCTGAGCCTCCCATTTACCCATGCTGAAGCACACGGTCTTCTGGGGAATGGATAAATTTCTATTATTTGGTTTCTTTCAACTGGAGGTCTAGTTGGTGGGTCAAGAAAATGGTTGTCCCTGCTCCTGAGGTCCAGGGAAGCACTGTGGGGAGCGGTGGCAGCTATGGCAGTCCCAGGCTTGTCAGCTGGAGATGCTTGGGGTGTCAGGGAATCTGCTGTGGGTGCAGCTGGGATTTCCAACTAGAGCCTGGATGGTGCTTTGATCAAACTGGACCTATCGGTTGAGCTGGACCTTCTCTTCTCTTTCCCCATTGCTCTGCAGCACTTTACCTGACTCTCCCCCTGACTCTGGATCAGAAGCCTACTCTCCTCAGCAGGTGAATGGTAAGTACTTAAAAGAGAGAGAGGGGTGTGGAAAAAAAATAATAATCCAAACCCCAAACCCAACATCCTCCCCCTCTTTGTTCTGTGAAAGTGGTTGGCTCTGAAATCTTTATCAGACGGGAGAAAACAGGCGGCTGCAATACGTGGGGAGATTATCAGTTAGTAAATATCCCTAGACTTTCGCCTATTGTTCTGCTGCTAGTCTTTGCAAGGGGGGAGAGCGAGCGAGTGAGGGAGCAGGAGAGAAGGCAAGGTGGGAATCCACTTGCACGGGGAGAGCTCGGTGGTGTGGCTTGTCCCCGGGCAGGGTGGGATGTGGAGCCTGCGAGCCTCCTTGTCCTGCCCTCCGCCACGGGTGAGCGAAAGGCAAGGAGTGTGAGCGCGTCCCTGAGATGGAGCCCGGCTCGGGGAGACAGACATGAACCCGCCGTTCAGCAGTAAGTTCCTTCCCAGCCCTTCCCTCCCCTCCAGTGGGGCCAGCAGATCCTGGGGGTCTTCTACTCCCCCTGCAAAGGGCAGAGAGAGCTGTCCCCCCCCAGGTTTAGGCAGGGTCACTGCCAGGCCCTTCTGGCTCCCGTGGGGAAGCCACGGAGTGTTATTTGGTTCATCTGGTGACCTTCACTCCTCTTTGGTGGAAGAAACTCCTTGGTGAGGAAGGAAGGTTGCTTCTGGTCTCCCTTCCCCCTCGGCAGCAGCACCCTCTTCTCCAGGCTCCAGCCCAGTCCCCACCAGGAACAGCGCCTGCTTTTTTTTTTTTTTTTTTTTTTTTTGATGGAAGAGGTCAAGAGTTCTGTTTATCTTGCTAAAAAAAATCCCTGGAATTCCTCCTGGCCGTTCCTTAAATATAACAAAGAGGCCGGGTTGCTCACCACGGGGAGAGCTGCTTTGACGTGCTGGCAGAGCAGGAGCACCTCTGCTCAGGGAGGAGAGGAAGCTCCAGAGAGCACCCTCAAACCAGCTCCTTCCTCGCCAAGGGAAGGATCAGATTCCCGGGCTTGGTTTTCTCCCTGGAGCTGGGAGAACAGAGCATGAGTCCTGCATTTGGAAAATGCATCAGCCCCTGTCCACATCCTGGTTAGAAGCTTACGGAAATTACAATGTGCTGTGGACACGGTGATGATGCAGTGTCTGCTGCGAGGGCATGTCCTCGGACACTCACGCATGGAATTGTTCCTTGAAAGCTGCACAAGACCTCCCAGTTTGTACGCGAGCCACCAGGGCCAAGGCTGACCATGCTGCAGGGTCAGGATATTCACTTAAAATGTTTCAAAGATGGATTTCTTGTGGTGTTTCACAGAGGAGGATGTGAGACTCCTCTCCCAGCCCCGAAGCGGCTGTCCTTCTGTGCAGGCTTGGCCTCCGAGGGTGGTTCTGTGGCTGTTGGAAGCTGTATCCATCAGCTGGGCTGGGCGGTGCCGAAGCTGCCTGGCCGGTTGGGTTGTTGAGCTGTGCTAGTCTTTGCTCCAAGTTATGTGGGTGGAAGTTGGGCGCTTGTCGGGATGGCAGGAGCAGAGCTGGGTAAGGGGGATGTCATGCCTGGTAGCATCACCACCCAGCTGAAAAGCAGAGGGATATTCTCACCCACTGTCAGCCCTGGCCATTGCATGAAAGCAAGGCTGCTCTTCGGTCCTGATCTCCAAACTCCTGAAGGTTGCAGACCTCCCCTCTTCCCTGGAACTCTAGTGCTTGGCTAGGCTGTCCTTGAGACAGCTCCAGAAGGCAGGCTGGCCTGGGAGCACGGGTAGAGGAATCCAGTTTGATATGTGCTGCAAAAGGGCACCGCGAGATCTTGGCGGGTAGCAGAAAGCCTTTGAAGGGAGCAGAATGGCTGAACGAGTGGAAGTGGCCCTGCCCCAGCAGCCTTCAGCAGGAGGGCTCAGCGTAAATACATTTCACTTCCAGCCCTTGCAGCGGGAGGAGTTTTCTGATTCCCGATCAAGTGCTTTGGCCTCATTACTCAACCACTAACTGGTTGTTAGGAGACCAAAGTCCACCCAGCCCAGTGTCTGGCTCAAGGCTTGCTGGTGGACCCAGCAGGTATCTTCCCTGCTGTCCCCCTTCCACGTCCCCATAGTCTCTAACAGGCTTGGCCAGTCCTGGGATGTGTTTCCTCCCTCCTGCTGGTGCTTGGCTTCATCAGATGTCCACGGCGGGATGAAAAGAAGCTTTGTCTTGCACTTAAAACACCTGCAAAGTCACTGTCCCTTCCCGCCTTTTAGTTCCCTTAAAGCCCAGGGCCCCAAATGCCCCAGGAGTCAGCCCCTCGTTTCTTCAGGGACCTTGGTGTACTCTGTGGGGACACCTGAACATACAAGCTAAGGCAGACACACACTGGGCAAAGGCTGTGGAAACAGAGGAGCTTTGTCCTGGTGAAGAAAAGGTGGGTGAAGGCTTGTTTTGTGGGGCTGGGGACCAGGCTGCGCGTTTCCCACAGGCGGGGAAAAGCCAGCGAAGAGCTCCTGTTCAGAGGCAGTGGCTCAGCTGCACGTTTCCTCACTGCCTGGGCCTTTCAGTTCCAGTTTCTCTTAGGTGATGTGCTTCAACTGGGCATCAGCACCATTTTGACCAAACCCATCTGTCTGAGCGTGATTTGTCAGCCCAGAGTTGGTGAGCTGGATTCTGGGGAGGTCTCAGGAGGGTAATGTGAATTTAGCTGATCTTTTTGCTGTTGTTTAAAGGACCATGCTGGTAATCTCCTTAGCAAGCACAGGCTTTTGGAGTGGAGCTGAGGTCTGGTTTAGTGCTAGGATGGGAAGGAAGGACTTCCATGCAGGAGAAATGTTGAACTTCCACATGAGGCTTCTGTTACCCGCTTCTCCTGGAGCGGCCTGTTAATTCCTCAAATTCCTACTCATCTACATCTAGGATGTTCACTCACATTTTCCTGGGAGACTTTCATGGGAAAATTTGTAAATTCTTTTCAGGTCGTATTTTTCTCAGCATGATGTTGTCAGCGTGCATTGTTCTGAAAAGTTCATCTCACATGTAAATTCTTGAGTATTGAGATTTTTCTGTGCACAGATTTTCTTGCGTAGATCTGCTCACAGTCTTTGCCGGCTTATTTCTCATGTGTCTTGCACTGAATTTGGAGATTGTTCTTTTAGTTTTCCTGTATTTTTTCACTGCATTTCTTCACTCTCAGAATCTGGCTGTGGAAGGGTTTGATTTTGCTAGAGAAGCTTGTTCTAGGTGAAAAGCTTCTTTCCTTTATAGTTTCTTTCTCCTCTTTACAGCTTCTGCAGTGAGGATGGGATAGCTGGCATGAGAGATCACTGCAGTTCACTAGATTCAGATCTTTGCCTTCCACTTGCTCATGGCACAAGCTCACTCTTTTTTAGGGTGCATTAAAACATAACAATAAGCTGTTGTAATGATGCCAACGCTGACTGTTCCCAGAAAGTTTGAGTAGGCCCATAATCCTGTTGTTATGGCTGAGTTCTGATGAGAGTGACGTTAAAACTTCACTGGTGTGGTCACTAGTATGACAGGTCCTTCCGTGCTGTAGGCAATGTCATACAAACACCTGAGTTCAGAGAAGACAGAAGTCATGTCCTGCTCCATCTGGGATATGCACTGAGCCTGTTCCAGGTCTTGCCAGCACACCAACTTCCTCGCCAATGTGTGTGTTTTTCTTTCGTAAAATTATTCATAATATTTTATATTACTTGGTTAAATCACTAATTTCTAGTCATTCTCGAGGCATGTTGGGTGAGATTCAGCCATGCTGCTTTACTTTACATACTTTACTTTTTGCTCTTGGCCCCCAGAGGTGTTTTGGTTTGAGTTAAAGCCCTCAGCTGAGCACTGGCATTGCTGTGTGTTGGGCTTGTGGCTAGATGGAGTCCTGAGCAGCTGCAGAAAGGGAGATGGATTTGCATGCCCCTCCACAAACCAAGCTTTTATTTTGATGGTGATATAGTCAAATTGACCCTAATCATGGCATGGCTTCAGTATCCAATTCCGAATAGAGGAGGAGAAAGGTAGGATCCCATTTGAATGTCCCTTTTTGTTTATTTAAATGTAGAGATCAAAGTCTCCTTCTGGTTTAAATTTTAAAAAACCAAGCAGGTGCCCCCACAGGAACCCTTACTGGCATTCAGGTCATTCAGTGCTCTCTTCTTTTTCCCAAGCCTGTCTCTGCTCCTGTTGGAACAGAACACAGCAAGTGTCCTTGCACGGTCATCCTCTAACACAGTGAGAAGCCTTTCTTGGTGGCTCTGGCCCAAGCTGGGTGTGGGCATCCTTGGGACATCTCTCTGCTGGGACTGTGGTGGAGACCAGGCAGCGCACTGAGCTGGGACCCCAAGCTCTCAGCTGACTGGTGCTCTGTGGGGTGAATCCCACCCGTGGCTCCTCAAGGCTCTCTCAGTGGTTGAGAGTCTGGTTTTTGGGCAGGGTGTTGTAGCCCACCACTATGAAGAGCTCTGGCATCATGAAGTGGATCTTCTTTGCCACAGGAGCATACTGCTGGGCACTTTCCTTGGGCAACCATGCCCAGAATCAGTAAAATTAGGCAAAGTTCAGGCGCTTTCTCTCCAGCTCTGCATTTCCAGGCACAGGCTTCAGACTCTGTTACTGACTGTTGGACCTTTTCCCCCCGCTGTGCTTTCTGGGCCCATGCAGTTCCTTGGTGCTCCAGGAATATTGTGGTGGATGGACTTTCTATTTGAAGGGAAATACGGAGCTAACACAAAAGCTGCTTGGGAATTCCTAAAGACATGCTATCCCCGCAGAGCATCCATGTGAGATGCCTAGGTTTAGCAAATATTGGAAAAGTCTGTGGGAATCTCATTGTCCCTCAGCCTGAGGATCTGAGTGCTCTTTGAGTTTTGGTTCTTTCTGCTTCAAGATGAGCCTTGCCTGTTTTCCCTGTGCTTGCCCCTTCCAGTCTCACCTCTCCTCAGAAGATGTACAGTACAAGACACCTGGTTTCGTAGTGTTGCATGTCCCTTTATCAGCTGGCCAGCCAGGACCCTGTTGTGTCCTTGCTCTGTAGATGCCACTTGGACAAACTGCGTCTGAAGTTGGCAGCCACGGCTGCTGACATGAGAAAGGAAGCCCTGCTTGGGTTCTCACGCTGGGGAACCTTGGAGGTGCCTGGGGGATACTGAGGCCATTAAGGAACCAGGGAGGAGAAGTCACTGCAGGGCAAGGTGGCCATTGCAAGGCAGACAGGGTGGCCAAGGGGACATGGCCGTGGTGAAGCTGGGAAAAAGAAGCGGGGAGGTGTGGGTTCATGAAGATAACCAGGACTGGGATGATTCAGGGGATGGGAGTGCTGTATCTGTGCTGGACCTGGGCATAGGACATGCTGCATGGCTCTACCTGGTGGTCTAACAGCAATTATTCTTTCTCTTTTTCAAGATTCTCACCTCCTCCGGACCATGACCCCCGAAAACATGTGCCACATGACTCCCCCATCTCGCCTGGAGCACCCTCCTCCTCCACCACCTCCACCTCCACCCCCCCACCTCCAGGGTCCCCCGCCGCCCCCCCCTCACCCGCACCAGCAGCAGCACAACCCTCACTACCCCGGCCTGCAGCGGGACATGTACATGAAGGCTGAGCCCTTGATGCCACCGTACAGCATCGGGCAGGGCATGGCGCCTGCCGACCTCCACCATGCCCAGCAGTCGCAGATGCTGCACCAGCTACTCCAGCAACACGGAGCAGAGTAAGGCCTCAGGGCACTGGGGCTTTTCAGCATTATTTGGGTGATTTGGGGAAGCGGGGGAGATGAAGCGGATGGGAGCCAGGGGTTTGCAGAACGCGTAAGCAAAATGACTGGCTTTAACTACAAGTTAAGGAGCGTGCCCTGGTGCGGTGGGAGCGAGCTGGGGAGGCATCGAGGTGGAGATGGCAGGGGTTTGCAGCGCACGGCTCAGAGTTGGGTGGTGGGGACAGACAAGAGGAAAGCAAAGATGCGGCTCGGTGCTCGGGTGGCGTGGGTGGGCAGAGCCTGGTGGGAGAAGACGGTGGTAGTGCTGAAAGAGCTTGTGGCTCCCTGAACCAAGGGTTTGGTTTTAATGTGAGATCTCAGCTTTTACCCTGGTCACGGCTGTTACCTCCCCACCTCTTGCTTTCCTGCTCAGCCTTTGCTTTCCCACGGGTCTCCGCAGCCTCCCGGTGCACCCTGCCAAGAAGCGGAAACACTCCGAGTCACCCCCCAACACTCTCAATGCACAGATGCTCAATGGGCTGATAAAGCAGGAGCCAGGTATGGGGTCCATGCCACTCAACCCTGACAGAGTCCAAACACCTCCCTGGCATCAGCCGGGAGCACTCTCACCAGGTATGTGGTTTTTCCCCACCCCGGCTCCCCTTAATCCCCCTAGCATGCAAACCTCTGCTGCCAGCCCGGGCACTCCGCTGGGCAAGGGTGTTTGGGAACCTCAGGGTGCCAACCCATGGGGCTCCCAACCCTGGTTGGGTCCCCAGGAGGGGAGAGCAGGGTTGTGGGTTCATCATGGCCCAGATCTTGTGCCCGTGGTGGTGCCCCGGCAAGATTCAGGCTGGCCTCACAGGCAATGCCAGTCGCTTCCTTGTGCTCTTACCTAGCTGAACCCTCTGTCAGAGTGATTAAAATTGGTATTTTCCCCCCACCTCAGGCCTGATTCAAGATAACGACAGCTTGAATGGCTCCTACTTGGATCCCAACTACCAGTCTATAAAGTGGCAGCCACATCAACAGAACAAGTGGGCAACTCTGTATGATGCTAACTACAAAGAACTGTGAGTAATTCATCCACCTTTGGGGAAAGTCAGATTCACCTTCCGTGTATCGGTGACAAGGGACTGGGGTTGGGGCCATCGTACTCACAAGATGGGACAAGGATTGTCCTGAGCTCCCCCCCATCCTCTCCTATGACCTGCTGATCTCTGCTTGCTTGTGCTGTGGTGGAGATATTCTCTCCACTGTACTTTTGCCATTGAGAAAGTGAATTCTCTGCACTTCTGCAGGGCTGATGGAGGATTAAGAAGTGGGGCTGGCTCTATAGGAGCCAGGAGTAGGCATCTCAGCAGCTTTGGTGGCAGTTCAGCAGCCACTCAGACCTCGGTCTGCTGTAGAGGGTTGTATTGGCAAATAGAGCATTGCCCAGAGCATGGTTTGGACCAGCAGTGCCCTTTCCTCCTGTCCAGGCTTACCAAAGTGCTGGATTTTAAAATAAGCATTAGGATTTCCTAGACAATGCATAGCATGGATGACTGGAGGTCGTCTAGAGCCACTTGAACACAGCTTGAGAGCAGCATAGAAAGGAGCCTGAGGAGGAGTGGGAGTGGTTGATGGGCAGAGGTGGAAAGGAGGAGAGAAAGAAAAGAAGAGGGAGGGGGTTGAACAAATTTGGGAAGCCAGGAGGGGTAGCAAGGTTGTAGAGGGGCAAGGGGGGTGGGTAGAGACGAAAGCTGGGGTGGCTGAGGCAGGTGGAGGATGCAGAGAGCAGCTGGGTGGGAAGGACTGGTGGGGCTGTGTGGGGCTGGGAGCAGAGGGGAGAGGCTGGGGCAGAGGAGGGTGGAGGCAGTGAATGGACAAGCTGCACAGGGAAAGACGAGTGCTCGGGAAACTGCTCTGGATCCTCCCTGCATTCCTCGGAGGTGACAGAGAGCTGGCAAGCAGCAGGCTGGGTTCCAGGAACTGCTCTCTGAGCAAATGAACCCCCCCCGGCCCCGTTCCCCTCCTGCTCTTTCTGCACAGCTGGTGGCTGGTGTAGGTCCCCTCAGGGGACACGGAGGAGGGGGTGCTCTGTTGTCCATGACACCATTTAACCCAAGACTATTATCACACCTTGCCCGGATGGTGCTCAGGATGGGAGCCAAGGACCTCAGGCGAGGCCAGTCCTGGAGGCAGAGGAAGATCTGCCAGATAGAAAACTGCCTGTGAGCCAATAAGATGTGCTCGCAGCCCAGAAACCACCCGTGCCCTGGGCTGCAGGCAGAGCAGGGGGGGCATCAGGGCCAGGGAGGGGATTCTCCCCCTCTGCTCCGCTCTGGTGAGACCCCCCTGCAGTGCTGGGTCCAGCTCGGGGGCCCCCAACAGCAGAAGGACACGGAGCTGCTCAAGTGGGGCCAGAGGAGGCCATGAAGATGCTGGGGGGGCTGGAGCAGCTCCCCTGGGGGGCCGGGCTGAGAGAGTTGGGGGGGTTCAGCCTGGAGAAGAGAAGGCTCCGGGGAGACCTTCGAGCGGCCTCCCAGGGCTTAAAGGGGGGATGGGAAAGGTGGGGAGGGACTCTGGATCAGGGGGTGGGGATAGGATGAGGGGTGACAGTTTTAAACTGAAAGAGGGGAGATTTAGATGATATATTAGGAAGAAATTTTTCCCTGTGCGGGGGGTGAGGCGCTGGCCCAGGGTGCCCAGAGAAGCTGTGGCTGCCCCCTCCCTGGAAGGGTTCCAGGCCAGGTTGGACGGGGCTGGGAGCACCCTGGGCTGGGGGGAAGGTGTCCCTGCCCATGGCAGGGGGAGTGGAACCAGATGATCTTTGAGGTCCCTTCCAACCCAAACCGTTCTAGGGCTCTATGATCTGTGATGTGCAGGAAAGCTGCCGCTGCAAGCCCCAGCCCCGCTACACACAGATCTGCTCAGCCAGCCCCAGTCCTTGTACCATCTTTAGTGCAGACCTGGTGGTGAGTGGGGCATGCTCTGGGTTGTTTCCCTGAGGAGAAGGAGCTGCTGGAGTTGGTTATTTCTTTGGTGACATCCTGTTATTTGAAAAGACTGTTTGTGACTGTTTCCCCAACCACAGCAGGAGAGGAGTAATCTGGGGAGGTGATTACTTCCGTTTTACTAAACTGTTTCCATAAAGGAAACATCTCCCACCTTCAGGTGGAATATCAGCTACTTCTGGGAACTTGTGAGCTGCTCTGAAGTCCAGTCCTGTGGCCCTGCCCCTGCTCTCCACCGTTTTCTTTTCTGTAGACTAGGGGATGGGGGGAAGGTGACCATCTCTTGTTGAGCACGCACACACTACAGTCCCCAATTCCTGCCTTCCTGCACAGGGGTGTTTGAATTCAGCTCCCACCTCCTCTGAATGCTGCCTGGACATGTCATCCCCATCATTTGGTTTTCAACCAGGGCCTGGGTGTCACTGGGCGGTTGTGACGCTGCTGTTTTCCTACCTGACAAAGTCACCTTCGGCTTTTTCTGCTGTTCTCGCTTCTCCCAGAGTGTTTTTGTGCCAGTACTGCCTCCAACTGTGAGACTCAGTATCTTTACCCCGTGTCAAAGGGTTTCTGAGAAGTGGAGGTGCCAAGAGAAGTGAACTCCTCTTCTCTAACTCGAGCAATGCTTGGTCATAACCTGTCAGTCCCTGGAGTGGCTTCTCTTCCACCATCAATCTCCGCAGGGCTTTCACTATGTGGCAGAAGATCAAATGCACCTTGTGTAGTCAGCAGGGTCCAAAGAGCTCTGCACATCGTAGCAGCAGACCTGCCGTGTGGCCTCGGTTTCTCTGACATAATGAGTCCCCCTTCTCCTTCCATCTCACTGTTTACCTGCGCTGGGTAAACGGTTTCTCATCTGAAGCACGTCACAACTCTTTCAGCTTTGTCACAGACCGTTTGCAGGTGTTACAGTCCCTGTTCCAGAGATTTGCCATGCACCCCCGGGTGTCATACAGGCAGACCGGCAAACAGCGCAATATTTTCTGCTGGCCACAGAGAACTTGCTGGAGTGCTGCAAACCACAGCTTTGAACCTCTGCAAACCCAGCCCTGCTCCACCATGTTCTTTGGATCTGTGCTTGGAATCACTTGCCTAATACCTGCTTTTAGGATTTAGGGTGAAAGCCAGAGCAAACCTACTTCTGCGGCATGTAGGTCATCGTCCCATTGTGTAATGAATAAATTCCTTTTAACTGACTTCATGTAGATTTTAGGAGCCCACGTGCAGTTTGTTGTGGTGCTGGATTTGACCAGAATTAAGGGTTAAGGTCAAGGGTTGATTGATTAATTTTTAGTTACACACTACCTCAGTGGACTCTTCCTTCTTTGTGGTGGGTTCGAGGCCAGGTAGCTCTAGGAGACCCTGTGCAAGCTGAACCTACATGTCTTTCTAAATGGAAGATCACTTAGTTCTCCTGGGGCAGCACTGCACCAGAACAGATCTATGAGAAACACCAAAAGAGCGCTCTTCCCTTCCTCCTTCTATAATGGTATTTTTTAGGTTGACTAATGTCATGCTTTAGCAGGCAGGAGTCTTCTCCTTCCTTTCTCCCTTTTGGGTATATTCAGCAAATGAACAGGCATGTGTGTCTCTTCGAGATCCACGAGTACCTCCACAATTTATTTTCCTCTGAGATCATAAAGCAAGGACCAGCTGTTCCCAGTCTGTCTTCTGGTGGAGGCTCTCCTCCAGTTTGTATGTGCTGTTAGAGTTTCTGGCCCCTAGAGGGAACATATTTGTTCCCCTGTGATCCAGGTGCTAACGACCTAGTCACAGCCCCAGGAATTTGAATCATCTGAATCATCTGATTTTTCCCACTCTTGTTCTTAAGAAAAGAGACCAGGAAGGTGGGTGAAGGAGGGACACCTTAGGAAGCTGTTCAGGTTCTTACCCCAGCATGGTAGTCAAGAGCTCATCCATGTTTTAATAGCACTTGTTGCACACAAAGACCAGCTCTGTGCCCTGGAGTGTGCAGAAGATTGACTCAAAAGCCATCCCTGCAGGTCCACCCGGCTACGTGCAAGGAAGAAGAACCCGTACCCAGCCTGCAGCATTTCCACGGAGCAGGGCAAGTGCTCGCAGCCTCCGTGGAGGGAATCGTTCAGCCTGGTAGCGCTTCCTCCTGTTCTGCCACAGAGGAAGCTGGTCCAGTGGTTACTGCTGCATGGGAGAGATCCAGCTCTGCTTCTGCATCTAGGAGTGACGCTTTCTATTGGGCTGGTGGAATAATTGCTTTGTCAGTACTTTATTTAATATCTTTTTGAACTTATACAAGATAGTTCATGCCGGTGCCTGTGCATTTATGTAATGTTCTGTGCTAAGTATAATCTTACAGGGCAAAAAAAATACATTTAAATGATATTCCGTGTTCTCCTCCTCTTGCACACACAAACTTGGGTCCCTTAGTATAGGACCATAGAATCATTTAGGTTGGAAAAGACCCTTAAGATCATCAAGTCCATTAGTAACCATCGTGGAAAGTTTTTTATTCCTCTCAAGAGTTTCCTGCTATGATTTGTGATGATCAAGAGCCCTGTGAGAATTTGTTCCAGCTTGTATCAGCATCATTCAAGCCCATTTAACAGCTCTCTCTTCTTATGCAGTGAGTGTAGCTGTCACATCAGATCATATTTGTAGCTTGTGTCTGTGAATATGTGGAAAATTTCATCTCTGTTCAGTCATTTTCCTGGCAGAAAGCTAGAGTAGGGGCCCTTCAACCATTTCTCCTTTTCTGCTGTTCTGGGATGTATCTTGGAGCCAGGCTCCTTCTCAGCCATTGCTGCGGTTTGATGAGATGAGGACAGAATAAGGGGGACCTGAACTCATTCTGTAGTTCCTAAGTCACCTTTTCTGCCTTCTAAAAGATCTGTACAGTGAATTTTGTTGTGTGAATGTCAACAGATTCCCTGTCGCCAGGCAGGCGTGGAGAAGTGGAGCAGCCTTGCAGCAGCCCTCTGCCAGGAGAAGAGCAAAGGGGAGCCAGGCTCACATGAACTACACGGGTTTAGTTTTAACCCAGACTTCCTAGAAGTAGGCTGGATTAAGGAAATGGAGGGAAGGAAGGCAGGCTTGCTGCATGGATTCGGGTGGAGGTGCCTGGAAATCTGTCTTGGCTTGTGTCTGGGGCTTTGCTTATAGTGAGCTGAGGAATCTGTGTTGGTTGAGAAAGACTGAAGTCTCTGGATTAGTTTTATTGATAATATGTTTCTTTTTGGCCTTTTGCACTGGTTTTGTGGTTTCAGACTCACTGAACCTTCAAAAGGGTTAGCTGGTTTCCAGCAGCGGTGCCGAAGAGGCCTGGAACCGGGCAGCTCACTAATTTACTCCTGGGAGCAGGAGTAATTCATCTCCCTGACAGCGTGCTCTGATAAATGCCAGCAGGCTCCCTCCTCCCTCTCCCCGTTTGTTTACAGTTTGAGGTAAGGCAGCTGGCGAAGGGTAGTGCAGCGCTCGACAGAAACATTGCCACGCTCTGACCCGCGGAACTGGGCTGGTGCCGCTCTCTTCCCATCAAGCAAACTGGTGCTCTCCCTGGGCTCTCCCCTGAAGTTCAGGTCTGTGGGCTAAACCCGAGCTTTCAGGCTTGCACTCCTTGCTTGGAAGAAGCGTCCTTATAAACGGCACCAAACCTGGCCTTGAGGCAGATCTTGGAGCTCACCAAGGGGATGGAGACCGGTGTGATGTGGTCCAGTCCTGCTGGGTGCGTTCTGGGTCTGGTGACACGGTGTGTTGGCCAGTTAATTAGCCAGCTTGGCTAATCCTAGGGTGGTGGATCACTGGGGTCTTGCTCTCCCGTGCTGCGAGTGTATCTTGGGCAGTTGAAGGGACCAGGTACAGTGCTGAGCCATGGATGCACTGGTGGGGTTGTGTCAGCTGGGTGAGACAGCAGCATCACACTGCTCAACTGGAGGTTCCTCCATCCTGGTGTTTGTACCCTGGAAGAGAAACAAAGCAGGGCCTGCATGGAATTAGTGAGTGGCCCTTGAATTAGGGGGTGTCCAAACATTATGTTTTAAGAGTGGTTGAGTTACTGGGGAACCTGGAAGGAGGGAGGAGACAAATGAGGGAGATTTTTCTTCCAGAGAGGAAACAATAGAGGCTTGTGAGCATCCCTCTAACAATCCTGCTCTCACCCACAGATCCCAATACAGTTCCCTTTCCAACAGAAGCACATTTCCCCTTGCAGTGCCTTTCCCTTTGCTTTGCACTTTTGCAGAGGTGCTCCCTGCTCCTCTAAGCGTGGATGCCAGACATGGCTGTGGGGAGTTTATAACCTCTCACCCTCACTCAGACTGGGAGAAACCTCCCCTCCTCTGATCCTGGCCTTCTAAGTCCTGCCTTAATCTGCTTTTGTCAGGGCGGGGCATTTTGGCTAAAATAATCCATTTGACCCCAGACCTTTTATTCCTGACATTTTGCCCTCTGACCCCTTCACTCTCCCTGGGAAAAAACAGCATGGCTTTGGCTGCCCAAGGGCTGTTGCCTTGTCAGCGGCTGGTGTCATCCCTAATCCCAGGAACCGTTTCTGCCTCAGGGTCTCCTGCCCTTCCTTCTACACCCCAGCACGGCAGCCGCCCATCCCGAGAGCACATCTCAGGAGGGGCACGCTGCCAGCCTGCTGCCCTCGACTGGGTCTGGGACAGGGTGGTGGTGACTCTGAGGTCCCTGTGAGCTAAAATGAAGGGGAGGACGTTGTGTTTTGTTTTGGTTTTTTTTTTAATAAGCGTCACTAGAGTCTTTACAGTGCCGCAGGAGGTGATGTCCTCGCACTGCGTGGCAGTGGGGGAGTGGATTTGCTGCTTCCAGGTGGGATTTACAGTGAGAGTAAAAAACCACCCAGATAGGAGATTCAGGGGATACCCTGCTCTGCAGTGGGGGCTAATCTGAGAGCAGCTCCTTGGCTCAGCCACAAGTGATGGGCTGGGGGCATCCCTGCCCTCTCTGCTACATGGAAAGCAGCTTCTTGCCTCCTGTCTACCCCAGCACAGGGATCACACTTTGGGGGATGCACCAGCCACAGCTCTTGGGGAAAACTCAGAGAAAAGGAGCCTCTGAGAAGGGAACTCTGGGGGGACCAGACATTTCTAAAAGACAGAGGAGGGAGAGCCTGACTGTCTCCTCTCTATCGGCATGTGTTTAGCAGCCATCGCTTTGAGTGATGTTAACCAGAGCATGTTTTTGTAGCGTCCACGGTTTGGAAGTTCGGTCAGACCCTCCCTTTCCCTGGTTTTCTCTGTTAAAAACCAGTGGGGCAAGTGGTGAACGCTCGGGGGTCCTGGGCAGACGGAGGCAGAGGCAGGCCTTAGTGAAAGCAGTCGGGTATGGCTCTGCCACCCCTGGGGCGAGCGCAGAGGGTGCTCGGGCCAGCCCAAGCCACAGCTCCCTATCAAGAAGAGCCAGAGAATTTGGGGCTGAGGCTGGGAGGAGGGCAAGAGCATAGGGGAATTCCTCTCGTGCTTCTGGGCTAAGGTAGTGCTCTGCTCCCACCGTCTGGTTTGTGTTCAGGGCACGACGCGGCAGCCCCGGGTCCCTCGGGTGCAAGAAATGAGCAGTTGCTTGTGGCCATCCCGGCATTACTCACGGCTGCCTGGAAACACCCGCGGGTTTCGTCCACATTAACCCCTCAAGTGTACATGGGGGGAGAATGTCTTTTTTTCCTAGAAAAAAGGAAGGGACATCAGGGGAGCAAGAGTGACTTTTCTGTATCTCCTGCTTCCCAAAATCTGCTGAGGTTGGCCTTGTCCATGGCTGTCAGTCTGTCCACCTCCCCTCCCATCGCTCTGGGCAGTATCTGTCTGTCTGTCTGGCTGGCTGGCTGCATTAGAAACTGGAGGTGGAAGTCAGAAGTAGTTTGCTTTTGCGGAAGAGTGCTCCATAGTTTTTAAGCCTGATGGCAAAGGCTAGGCTGAGCTCCCCTTGACCTCATCCATAGATCTTGACTTAAAACCAATGGGATTTTGGTGTTCTGCTGGAACTGCTGGGTGGTGGGGCGGGATGAGAGGCATCTCCTTCCTCCCTGTGTAGGGTAGGCAGCCCCCTGGGGGCCCACCAGCCCAGATCTGGGGTTTTGGGTAGTGAGAGAAAGGGGACTTGCCGCAAAGGCCACATATTTTCCTCGTTGCCATGGTAACCAGCCCATTAAGGAGATGTAGATTAAGCCTCCCCAGCTGGTGTGTGTTCATCGGGCAGCCAAGGCCCCCCCCCACCTCCTCCTCCTCCTCCTCCTCTGGACCTTCCCGCTGGGAGCTGGAAGCTTTTTTGCAGCAGCCGGGGCAGGTGGTTGTGATTTTGGCAGGAATCTGGTGCGCAGACGGTGCCGCAGGCGACATTGGGAATGCGATGAGTGAAGCGAGCAGAGGTGTGGGACCCCTCACCCCACCCCACCCCAGCCCCTCTCAGGGTCAGCCTGAGCTGCTTCGCCCAGTGAGAAGCATTTCAGGGGTCTGCTCCAGGCTTGGGGCAGGCTCTGGAGCTTGGTATTGCCAGCGTGTGTTGAACCAGGGCTAAGCAGCTGCACTTTTTAGAAGCAGCACTCAGAAAAGAGATGCTAACCTGTTTTGGCTCATATTACACTATGTTTATAGTATTATTACTATAATGGAGCATATAACAGGGTGGTTGCCCAAGTGTCCTCACCAAGTCCTAGTCACAGGAACCACATTCCTTTCCAGTTGAAGACCCACCTAAAACAAAGCTTGTGAGTTCAAGGAGGTTCATGGACCTTCCCTGAATTCTCCCTGCAGAGCAGGATGGGCTGCTGCCTGGGCTTAGGCAAGGTGTTGAGTTCATATCGGGCAGTGCTTAGAGCAGCGTCCGTGCACAGCAGGAGGGACAGCATCAGGAGCTGTCTCTTTTGTCCCAACACAACCCTCCTTCCCCTCCCATGCGCCTGCTGTGCCTCAGGATTATTTTGTGGCTGCTCTGTGTGAGCAGAGGTGACCTTCACAGCCTGCGGTGAGGTGGGAGTGTTCACGGCACGGTCGCTGTTCGTGTGTGGTGGGACATGGAGGTGAGCTGTCCCCCCAGCCCTTCCCACCCTGCGATGGGCTGGTTCCCATGCATCTGTACCCCGGGATGTGGCCCTGTACCACGCTGTATGGGCCCCTCGTTGCCTCTGCTGCTGGGGCTCATCCCTACAAGCATAAGCCTCTCATGGTGTGCACAGGGTCTGGTCTAACACCTCCTGCCTTTTCCACAGCCCCATGCTCACGTACCGCGTAGATGCTGACAAGGGGTTCAACTTCTCCGTGGGTGACGATGCCTTTGTGTGCCAGAAGAAGAATCACTTCCAGGTCACGGTCTACATCGGCATGCTTGGAGATCCCAAGTATGTGAAGACCCCTGAGGGCCTGAAACCCTTAGAGTGCTTCTACCTGAAGCTGCACGGAGTGAAGGCAAGCGGGAGCTAAGGGCCAGTAGCCAGCAGGGAGAAGGGGTGCTTGGCAGACAGCTGGGATCAGGCAACACCACATCTTCATGTGCTAAGTTGTAGGGGAGTGTGTAGGAAAGTGCTGAAGGCCAGGACAAGGCAGATCTTGAAACATGAGTCCTAAGATGGACTCAATCACTGCCTGAGTGCAGGGCTGCCTCTCACTCAACTTCAACTCCGGAGGTATATAGGCACTTTGGGAAGATCCTCTCAACTGCCATCCCCTGCCAAGGGAGGCACCCATGCTTAGACAATGACCTCATTCAAGTTGGGTGTTGTAAGTCAGTTGTACCAAGCCATAGGAGGGCTGTACAGACAGCTGGCCCAAGCTGGGGAGAAGGAGGTGGGAAGGGGAAGGTCTCGGCATTCTGCTCTTTGTCACTTGCCCAAATCTTTCTTTCCAGCTAGAGGCCTTGAACCAGTCAATCAATATAGAGCAGTCGCAGTCTGACCGCAGCAAACGGCCCTTCAACCCTGTCACGTGAGTATTGCCCGGGGTACATTCATGTGGGGAAGTGCTGCTGGGGAATAAGCAATAGCAGAAAAGTGAGGGGAAAGGGGCTGAGTCGGAGGTCTTGGGATAGTAGCATGGGTGTCACCCTTTCTGGTTTTCTCCTCTGTTTCCAACAGCAAAGGTTTCCTCTTGTTACGTTCCCCACTCTGCTTTGTGCCCAGTTCATAGACCTGCCTTGGTGGAGCAGACAGGGAGATGGCCATTCCCCAGAGAACCTCCTCTCCAGCAGTGTCCTCACTCACCCTCTGTTTTCCCTTCCCCAGGGTCAACCTGCCTCCAGAGCAGGTCACCAAGGTCACCGTGGGAAGGCTGCACTTCAGCGAGACCACAGCCAACAACATGCGGAAGAAAGGCAAACCCAACCCAGACCAGAGGTGAGGAGCACAGACGCCTTCTCCAAGGCGTCCTGGGCACCCAGAGCCTGTGGATGTGCCAGTCCCCGGGCTGGGGAGTGTGGCTGGAGGGAGGGGGACATGAGGGACAGGTCCTGAATTGGCCACCCTTGCCTGTGTGGAGGAAAAGATGTGTCTGCTGTGGCCACAAGAAGAGTCTCCCCGACTCTGTAAGGGGCTGGGGACAGTGCCTGTGTCCCACAGCACAAGGAGAGGGGATGTGCCAAGCCCGCCGTGACAGGGAGCTCACCATGAGGGGAGGCAGGCTCAGCCCTTCCCAGCACAGGATGGCACCCTGACCTCTCTCTCCCCTCTTGGCAGGTATTTCATGCTCGTGGTAGCCTTGCAGGCACACGCGCAGAACCAGAACTACACGCTCGCAGCCCACATCTCCGAGCGCATCATTGTCAGAGTAAGTCCCTCTCTCCTCCCTCAGCCTCTGCAGGTGCCCCGCAGCCCTTTGCTGGATGTCCTGGGCAATCCTCCTGCCTTCCTCTGGATTTTCAGTGCCTTCTCCACCCAGCCTTTGCCTACGTTCTCCAGACCATCACTGCCTTGTTTGTAGCTGAACCTATCCGTATGTAGGTTCTGGCTCCAGCCTTTCCACACTTGCTTTGTCAGAGCAGCCTCAGGGCATGCAAGAACCTGTCGCAAGATAGCGAAGGCATCTCATTCTCCCCAGGCTGGACCAGTAGAGCGGTTGGGAGTGAGGAAACAGTGTTGTTGGGATTCTGCAGCAGGGAGAAGGCCTCCAAGTGCAGGAGGACTGGATGCCTTCCCAGGACAGCACCTTTTGCATGTGTGAAGGCAGCAGTGCTCAAATGTGGAGGAGCAGGAAGAAGTAGGCACCATCCCCGGGCTCTCCCGGAGCTCTGCGAGAGCGCTCAGCTCTGAGACATAAAAACAGGGGATAAAACACAAAAACAGAGAGCCCTCAGAGTCTGCAAACAAGGAAGCTAACAATGAATTATGCCGCCTCTGGCGTGCCCAGCACAGAGCTGCAGGGGATTACAGGCAGCCTGGACTGCCTCGTCTCAACCTGTGAGCGGGACACAGAACCACGACAACAGGGCAGAACCCCAGGATTTGGGACACAGGAGCAATAGCCTTGTCACTTGGTCTCCTGCTGTCCTGCGTGGTTCTGGTTGGGGTTGTTGGAACAGCTCTGATAGCTGGGCTAACAGACAGCTCAAGAAAGCAAGGATATTCCTTTAGGGAGAGGAACAGAGCAGGCATAGCCCTGGCTCCTGTGGAGAGAGGCTTGGGCAGGGCCGGCAGATGAATGTCCAGGCTGTCTCTGTAGTAAAAGCAGGCTGGGAACTGTTCCCGGGGCTGGCAGCGGATCCCTGCCCCTGCCCCTTTGCTTTGTGCTGCTGCAAAGCTCTGTCTCGCACCTCCGTGGCCTTGCTGGCTCTGCCCTGTCTGTCTGTCCTGCTGCCTGCTGTCCCTCCTGTGAGGCTGGGGCTGCCACCTCTTATCCTCAATGTCTTCTTAGGGTTGTAACTCAGTGTGCTGTGGGCTGGAGAGGGCACCCTTGCCAGGATCTCATGACCTGGACTGTTCATCCCCAAAACCCGCTCCAACTTCTCAGGGCACCTGGATGAACATGCCCCTATTTCAGCCAAGATCTCCACTGTCTCTGTTTCCCTTCTGTGGGGCAAGGACACCCCCACTCCTGGGTGCTTCTGCTTATGCCAAGCTTTGTCTCACAGCTGTTCCCCACTCACACTAATGGGGACAGCACACTGCCACAGTAGGGTGTCTGGCACTGTCCAAGCCACCGCAGCAGCTTGGAGCTCCCTGATGTCCATCTGTTGCCCATGGCCTCTCCTGCTATACAGTCCTTCTGCACCATGCCTGGAGGGATGGGTCTCTGGAGCTCTCCTGAGGTCTGGATGGGTCTCTGGAGCTCTCCTGAAGTCCAGATGGGTCTCTGGAGCTCTCCTGACATCCTCTCTCTGTCCACACCTCAGAGTTCCTCCGCTCAGCAGCACTGCAGTGTTTCTCTCCCCGGTTTAACTACTGCTGCTTTTCAGTCCCCGCATTCCTGTCTCTCCCCAGGCCTCCAACCCCGGCCAGTTTGAGAGTGACAGCGACGTGCTCTGGCAGCGGGCACAGCTCCCCGATACTGTTTTTCACCACGGCCGGGTTGGCATCAATACGGACCGCCCCGATGAAGCCCTCGTGGTCCATGGCAATGTGAAGGTCATGGGTTCACTGATGCACCCTTCAGACATCCGGGTGAAGGAGGACATCCAGGAGGTAAGACCCCAGCAAACCAGGGTAGGCTTGGGGTGATCAGGGATCTGAAGAGGCAGCACAGAAATTGTGAGTGTCCTTGTGAGCCTGATTTTGACATAGTCCTTATGGGCAACCTTACTGATCAGATGGGAAGTGCCTTAGAAATCTGTCTGTCCCTAACACAGCCTGTCCACCATGTCTTAGGGAATATTGACTCTTCCACTATTAGCCAGAACTAGCAAACGCAGAAGTTACAAACCTGGAAACAGATGAGTATATCCAATAGCACACTGGGGCTTGCCAGAGCCTGGGTGAGAGGCTCAGCTCTGCTCTGAAGTCCTCTCAGCTGGCTGTGCCTGTCCGGAAAAGCTAGGTGCAATCATGCCTCGTATTTATGAGAACTGCCCTGTGCCTGATTCCACAACGGGACTCAGTCTTCTCTTGGCTTCACTACCCAAGGAACTCTTCCAGTGACAAAAAGTGGAGATTAACCGAGTGCAAATGCTTTTTGTCTTACTAGCTGCTCTGAGCAGGGTTCAGCGCTGTCCCATGAAGTGCTGTCTTGGGGTTTTCTGCTCGGCATCAGAGTCAGGGGAATTTAAGAAGCAACACCCCGCTTAGGAGTTCTGTGTGTGTCTGTTTTGTCCCAGGTGGACACCACAGAGCAGCTGAAGAGGATCTCCCGTATGCGGCTAGTACACTACAACTACAAGCCCGAGTTTGCGGCCACAGTGGGCATCGACAACACCTCCGAGACAGGTAGGGGCCCTGCATCACACCACGCTGACCTGCTTGTGTCTGCAGCGCTGGACCTCGTGCTCTGCAGCCTACAACGGCGTTTCATTCATGGTGCCAAGCACCACAGCTCTGCCCAGGCGTGGGGTGGGAGAGAGGGGGGCCTCTCACCACCTGAAGTTTAGGCACTGAATGGAATTCCCTCTTTAGTGAGCAGGAGAGAAGATGGTACTTGTCACAGGTGGCTTATAGGGCTTCTGTGGTAAGGCTTGCAAAGAACAAAAATACAAGAATTGCAGCTGTCACTAATGTCACTGCTAGTATGGGCTGCAACGGGGTTGTACAGCCCTTGTGTCATCTCCAGAGAACAAGATCCCTGCCAACAACTGCGTGGGCCAGAGAAAGATCTGTGGCAGGAGGAGCCTTGCCCAGACCCCCTTGACCCACTGTGCTGTTTCCACACAGGCGTCATTGCTCAGGAGGTAAAGGAGATCCTCCCTGAAGCTGTGAAGGACACTGGGGACCTGGTCTTTTCCAATGGGAAGACCCTTGAGAACTTCCTGGTGGTGAACAAGGTCAGTGGCAGCCAGGAGGGGTGGGGAGGCTGAGGAGGCCATTGAACTTGGCTCAAGGGAGTTGTGGAGCTGCAAATGGAAGACACAAATTGTGATGTCTGGGAAATGTTTCTAAACCAACACCACCTGTATGAGTTTCAGACTTGGCTGATCTTTCAGGTGTCAGGAGCAGCCCTGGGTGGACGGCAGACATCAGCAGGGAGGAACTAGCCTGGTGTTGGTGAAAGTTGGCAGCATCTCCCTCAGGAAGGGTTCCTTATTAGCAGCCTCCTGTAGGGAGGCTCTTAGTCATAATCTCTCCTTTCTAGATAAGATAAGGTGGTTATGTCGAGATAACCCAGAGCACCTGGCTGCCTGACCTCTCCGTAACCTGTGACAGCCTGTTTGCTACTCTGGGCATCAATGGGACAGCCTCCCATAGCACACACTGAGGGGATAGCCTCCAAAAGCTGCCAGATCTCTCCTCCATCACTCTGTCCAGAGTAGGAACGGCCAAAACTAACCTTAGTGCTTTGTTTCTCCTTTGTGGAAGACTAAATCCCTGCAGTTACATCACCAGGTAGCAGTAGCTGTGAGCGTGACCTTTGCTGTCTCACCTACACACGGCCAGGCCACGGTGTCCGAGATCCTCTGAGCATAGCGCTGGACTGGGACACCAGTGAGATGTTTTGCCTCAGGGAGCTCTGTGTGGGGAAGTGGAGTGGCAGAGCCCACGGGTGGATAAGGGGTGGGGGTGACACCACAGTGTCGGCAGCAGCACGTGGGATGCGGCTGCAGCTGTGCCGAGGGAATGCTGTGCCTTTACCCAGGGGCTGAAGGAGGAAGGTTGCTCTCCAGAGGATTCTAGATTTGGGCTCTCCATTGGTCTGGATCAACTGTCTGGTGGATAATGCTGCAGAATAAGTCCAGCAGCTTGCACCGTAAAGCAAGAAACAGACTTGGAGAGCTGAGGAGGGGCAGAGAAGGGGTAGATGGGGATCATTGCTCACCTGATTTCACCGAGGGCTCCTGATGAAGATGAGGACTTTGTGTCTGTCCTTTATGACAGAGGAGGACTCTTTGGATTAGCACCAGTGGGAGACCACAGCGATCCTGCACCAACATTTATTGGTTTGGTTGGGTTTGGAGGATATCTCTTGTTCTTGCATCCAGGGGCTGTAGAGATCTAGATGTGCCATGTTGGATGATTGCCTACCCCCAGAGCTGGGTGTCGTGTAGACCTTCCCCTGGGGCAGGGCATGGGAGGACAGTCAGGGTGGCCAGATCATTGGGAGACATAGTGCCTCCACGTGCTAGGCCACTCAGACCGCCGAGCTGTTCCCTGGCAGGAGCGCATCTTCATGGAGAACGTGGGAGCCGTGAAGGAGCTCTGCAAACTGACAGACAACCTGGAGACCCGCATCGATGAGCTGGAGAGATGGAGTCACAAGTTGGCCAAGCTCAAGCGGCTGGACAGCATGAAGTCAACCGTGAGCTCTGGGGCATTCAGGTATGGGTACACTGCGGGCACGGGAGCCAGAAGGGACGTCTCCTTTTGAGCCCTGAGTGACAGCTCAGTTTGGGAAAGGGGAGATGGGGAGGGCTGGTGGGGTGTTGGCCATTCTTGTTTGGCCTGGGGTAAATTCAGGCAGCTGAGATTGAGGAAACAAGTCTGGCGTACGCATTCCAACAGCCTGCTCTTAGGCCAGCCCAAAAAAACCCAGTGTGAAATTGCCTCCATGTTTCCCAAGAGTGAGCAGCTTTCTCAGAGCAAAGAGTTTCTCAGGCTTCCCAAATTGTTGTACTGACCCTGGTCAACTTATGCTGGTTTTGGGGCAGAATTTAGACTCTCTGGGCAATGGACCAGCAATGCACCTACCCCTGAGCAGATGAAGTGACAAAGGTTTGAGACTGTCACAACACACAGTGATTTCTCCCCTACCAGAGAATCACATTTTTGCCTGGGAATTGCTTCGAGTGCTGTCCCTGCACAGCTCAGCTCCGTTCCTCCTTTCTCCTTGCAGCCAAACGGGAAGCCAGTTCAGCCGTGCGGGAAGCGTACCCCACAAAAAGAGACCCCACAAAGTAGCCAGCAAGGTAAGGGACCACTCCCAAAGGAGCAGTGCTGGGCCAGGGAAGGTGGCCTGTCTAAAAATGGTTGTCTGCATGGTGCTCGTGTGTTTTCTTACACACGCCACAGAGGGAGAGACCCTGTCTGCTCCCGTTTCCATGATCTCTCCTTCCTCTTTGTCCATCCCTAATGAAGACATTATTTGGCTTCTGCTCTGTGGGGTTCAGGGATTGTTGGGGAGCAGGAGGAGAGCTTGGGCTGGGCTGGGTGAGATCTGTGCGAGGAGCAGAGCAGTAAGGAGTCCTGAGCTGATCTTGGGGTTTTCCTCTCACAGTCACCGTCGGTTGTCGCGGAACAGGCCTGCATCAGCCAGCGCTTCCTGCAAGGCACCATCATCGCCCTGGTCATCATCATGGCATTCAGGTGAGACCCGGGCTGCTGCTTCTCCACTGTCTCTCTCCAGTTCAGTCGTTTGGCCCACGCCATGCGTGGGGCTGTGGATCTACAGCTTCTTTCATGGGCTGAAACCCCTTGGAAGCGGATCAGTACCACGACACGTCCCCCTGCCACCTGCCCATCCTCAGCCTGCACCTCTCTCTTTCTTCCCAGTGTGGTGTCCATGTCCACGCTCTACGTGCTGAGCTTGCGCAGTGAAGAGGACCTTGTGGATATCGATGGGTGGGTAATTCTGGGCTACGGGGTGGGGGGGGAGGGATGTGGTGACTGTGGGGGAGTCTGAAGAGCAAAAAGCAGATGCTGTGGGGTTGTCGAGCACGGTTCCAGTGATGCAAGCTGTCAAACACATCCACACATCCAAGTCTGATGTCAGTTAAATTATCTGGAGCAAGAAGTGAGGAACGGAGGAAAAGGAAATACCCTGTTGTTTGGCTGCTCACATATCCACTCGTGGCCAATCTGAACGATCCTCGGATGCCTCTTCAGCTGGACTAAACCAGCATCGTCCCTCTGAGTGCAGTGGGGCTGGGCCAGTCTGCACTAGGCAAGAGTTTTCCTCTGCAAACAGTGTCCTTAGTGTGGAGAGAGCATTGAGGGACCCGCCCTGGCCCGGCTGGCGTGCACACGGGCAGCCTGTGCTGGGTATTCAGTTTTGGCTCACTTCACTCCTTTGGGAGCTCATGTTACCAGATAATGAGTCTCTTTTTCTCTCTCTCTTCTCCCTGTCCTATTTCTCTCCCTCCTGTTCTGGTTACATCTCTCATCCAACACATTTTCTTTCCACCTTGTCTTTAATTTTCCCATTCTTCTCTTTTCATTTCCATTATTTTCCATATCCTCCTTCATTCCCCGCTGTCCTCCTCATCTTCTACCGATCTGCCTTTTCTTCCCATCTCCCTTCACTGTCCTGTAGCTCTTTTGCTGTGCCCACTGACTGTCTCCTGGCCCTCTTTCGGCACAGGGGTCCTGGGGTCCCGGTCGCTCTATGTCCACGGTATGTTACTGTTTCATATTACTGTTATTTAATTGCTGCACCCCTTCTCTCAATTCCTCTTCTTGCTTCCATTTGCACCACAGAAGACCAAGAATCTTAAGCAAAATTGAAAGCAAAGTAAGGGATATGAACATACTTCCACAAGTGGGACTCCAGGAGGAAGGATTATGGACCCCATCAGGAAGAAGAAATTAGGATTAGGAGATTGAAGAACCAATTAATCAAAGGCTAAATAAAGATATTACATACTGCAGGTAGAGCAGGAGCAGACAGTCTGCAAGGAGTGCAGGGAGTATGTGAAAACAATGAAGTATTTAAGAATTAGCCAAAGAGATGTTCCTACCCTCTCTTCATATGTGAGTAGCTTTATTGTGGAGGGTCATGCTCAAGTACGGGACATTTTACTGTGCAAAAGAAGGACAGAAAAAAACCCCTAAACTATTTATTTTCATAAGCCATCACCACTGGGAATGTTTGGAAAGGTATTGCCAGAGTTACTTATTAGGTACAGACCTGTAAAGCACCTCAATTATTGGGATCTGTGGGGCTGCTGCAAAATACTTCTCTTGAAAACAGGCCCTGCCTGTCTATCAGCACCCCTTGAACAAAACACTGCATAAAGAGCGGTGGAAGGCACAGTTAATTTGTTCTTTTAAGAACTCCACACATCCGAGTGTTTCACGGGAAACTATTAAAAAAGTAATTGCTTGTGGGATGCAAGATAAAGCCATGTGTGGGAAGAGTTGATGAGGCAGTGGAGGAACATGAGGGATAGGGGTAGGTTTTGGGCTGGGGTGAAGGTTAGCTCCAGACGCTGGTGCCCACATTCCCTCCAGGAGACCAGCGTTGCGTCTCCTTTCACCAGAAAAATAAATACATGTAGTAAGGTAAGTTTTGTAGGTGACAAAGTGGTATTTTGATTTCTCTAAATGAGCGAAAACTCCATTTATCTTTGAGAAATCTTGAGCTATGCTAAAAGGACAGGCAAGACGTGGGTCCAGGACAAGCAAAATGTGGGACAGATAAAGCTGAACTGCTCTTATGCCTGGACAGGGACAGGACAGGTAAAATCTTGAACATATTTGGTAGGAGCTCAGAAAAATTTCTGCTCAGTGGGCAGCCACAGTCTGTGAAGGCAAGAGCCTTGGTTTATCCCATATCTGTAGGCAGTAACTGGTGCCCAGAAGTGGTGTTACTCTGGGCTCCTGTGCAGACACAGGAGAAAAACAGCACCAGGCAGCAGTTCCTCCCCTTTCACATGTGCCTATGTTGTGCTCAGCTTAGATCTTAGTAGCTTCAGTGAAACAGCTGAAATTACATAGGATAGATCTGGGTGGGATAGTGTGTATTTCTGAAAAACAAAGTGAGGAACAGTTTGTCTCCGAGAGATAAGGGGCACCTCCCTTAGGGAATGGTGAGTGCTTGGAGCCCATTACGGCCTAACGTGCCAAAACCAGAGCACAGAAATCCACCCTGGAGATCACTGTTGGAAATCAAGTCCACTGAGTAGACCCTGTTCCACAGTGAGCATCGAGGGAGCATTGCCGGTGTCCTCTGAACCAGCTGGGACTCATCCCTGCCAGGCGTGGGGCTGCCACACCATCTGCTGTGGCATTTCCTAGCTCTCCTGGCTGTCTTCACAGCTCGTGTGCCTCTCTCCTGCCTTCCCTTTCCCACATCACTCCAGTCCATGCTCCTCCTCACCCTTGCGCTCTCCACGTCTGCTCTTGCTCCATCTACCTGGTCCCATCACCCCACTCACTGCTACAGCCGCTTCTCTCTTAATGTACAAGCGACACAGTTGGCCCCACATGGCAGAGGGTTTTCACCATATTTTCCTGCACTTCAGGTCAAGCCAGAACTTTGATAAAACACAGATGGTGCAATCCACAGCTGCATCAGACGGACCCAGCCGCAGGACCCCCACGTACCACGGTAGGTCACAGCGGGGCAGAGATGCATGGTGATGGGTTGTGGTGCAAAATGATGAACACAGCTGCTCTTCTGTGCCAAGGGCTTGCTGGTATTGTGCTGCCTTCATTCTGGGAGGTCCTAGGGCTCTAGTTTTGTGGAAGGGATGCTGGGAGCACTTGGTACTGTTCCTCTTAGATGCCTCTCCCCTTGACTTGCTCCACGTGTCCCTGCTGTTTGTCCTGCAGTCACAGAGGACACGCATGACTTAGTCTCCAGCTTACCTGGTCACAGCGTGCTAGCCTGCTTCAGCCCACCGTGTTTCTCCACGTGCTGCTCCGCTGCTCCCACCAATGTCTCCTCTGTTGCCCTCTCTGAGACCAGCCCCACTCACGCCACGAACCGGACAGGTAATTACCAGCCCGGGCACCCAGGAGGTGCTGGGACACCACCGAGGTCTGTCTCACCACGGCATCACCTCAGATCCCCAGCCCCATCTCAACTCTGCACGTTAAAAAAGGACATGCAGCCTCCCCCCTTCAAAACATGCTGGGCTTCCTCCGCACCTGCTGCCTGGGTTGAGTCCTGCTTGAGCAGGCAGCTGGTATGGTTCAGACCTCCGTGATCTTGCTGTCGGGGGTAAGTGAGGGCTGGAAGGTCTTTGGAGCTGCCTGCTTTGCTAGCACGGAGTCCGACCTCATTCCCGTTTGCTTCAAGCAGGGTTCTGACAGGCCAGGAGGTGCACTGCCTCTCGGCTGCCCGAGCAGGGCTCTTGCAAGCTCGCTTGCTCCATCGTCATCGCTGTTGCAGGAGGAACAGCACCTCAGGCAGTCACACCCCTGGAGTCATGCTTTAACCTTGCCTTAGACACCGTGCCCTACCCAAGCACAGGGCTCTGCCCCTCTTGGCCCCCCACAGCCTGCTCTAGCTTCCCTTCTCTGCCAGGATCCCACCGGCCCCTCAGGCATGTGGGAAGCCTCAGCTGCACACATCAGGGGTAATACAGGGGGATGACATGGTGACAGGACAAAGCCAGAGCTGGTAGCTCCTCTCTCTGTGCTGACCTCGGAGGGTGGGAGCGCTGCCAGCCTCTCTCAGCACAACCTTCCTCTCCCTTTTCTTCGCAGAGCAAAGTCAGACCTCGCTCCTGCCGGTGACAAATATCAAAGCCAAATCCAGGGGCATCACGGGGAAAGCGACCTCCTATACCAAGTGGCCAAAGACGCCTGACAGGTCTCAGAGCTTCGGCAGCCCCAATGCCAGCCCCTCCTCCCCCTTCACCCACATCCAGGCCAAATCCAAGTACATCTCCAACCTCTCGCTCTCCCGCAGCAACTCCCCGCTGGGGCAGACCCGGCAGCAGCGCAGCATCAAGCAGCCGGTGAGCGAGTGGCCCCGCACGGAGGATCCCGGCACGGATGGTAGGTGGATTTTATCTTCTTCCCTCCCTGCAGCGGCACCGTGGTCCTGGGGTACCCTCAACCATCTCATCTATCCTGCACAGCTCTCCCTGCGTCCCCGTCCTGCAGCTTGTTTGCCCCCAGATCTCCCACATTCAACCTCCAGCCCTGCCCTTCCTCCCCCACGCTGCCCTACGCTTTCTGGCCATATTAACCAGTGGCCACTTCAATTAGGAGGCTGCCGAACCGGCATCTCCGTTCTTACCCCCATCTCGGCTTGCTCAGCCATTTCTAAATCACAACTAGAGGAAGAAACACATAGAATCAGTCGCGCTGGCAGCAGTGAGAAAGGAGTGTCGATGCCCAGCCACTGGCACAGCCCAGGGCACCCCTTTTCCTGGCTCTCCATGCCTGGACATGGTGTTAGCGCAGTCTGGCAGCAATCTGCCCCCGCTCTCTGGTGCCAGGGTGATGAGGAAAGTGCCAGGCGTCCCTCCCAGCCCTTCTCTCTCAGGGTTCCCCAGCTGCCACCCCTTTTGCTGTTCCTAAAGAGCCTGTTCTCCCACCCCTTCGCAGGGCCAAGCCCAGTGCTGCACTCCGTCCGGATCGTGGAGATCAATCTGGCCATCCAGTCCCAGCACTGCGCAGCCGCCGAGGCGTGCAGGTGAGCGAGGCAAGGCCGACTGCCAGCGCTTCGGGGGAAGCAGCAGATGGGCAGCTCTTGCAGCTTTGGGCTGTTTTCTGCCATCACCCCGAGGCAGCCCGTGCTGCTCCTCGGGCAGAGGAGCTGGGGCTCCAAGTCCTTCACTCAGAGTGCGTGAAGATTCAGTGGTGATCCTTGGGAAGCCCTCCCCTCTAAAGTCTCAGCCCAACGGAGACTTTGGGTCCTGTCCTGGCCAGCTCGCAGCTGCCTGAAATACCGTGGTGAGGTCTTAATGCTCTCTCTGTGCCCCTAGGACTGGAAACTTCACCTATCGCATCCCCGTCAACCAGCTCACAGCAGTGAACACCAACCTGACCCTGGAGATGAAGTAAGTGGGCAGGGCTCATCTCTTAAGCGTTTTGGGACCCCTGAAGTCAGCTGGATACTGTGCCACGTGGCCACAGTGTCTCCTGCTTGAGCTGGGAAAGAGACAGGAGGGTCTGACTGTGTCCTGTCTCCCCAGCTCCTCCTTCGCTGTGTCCATCTCCCTTTGTGGCCTCGTGTCCAGCAACCCCTGCCAAGATGCTGCGAGCACAAACGGCTCCACCAACGCCACAGACGCACAGGTAGGGAGGGAGGGAGGGAGGGAGGCTGCGGCTCACAAAATCCACATGTGTTGTGTCATCCCAGCACAACACCCATCCCTCCAGGAGGGACTGCAGGAGCCTGGCCAGGGTGGCACAGGAGTTGCTGGAGGGAATTCGTGTTCCAGCGTAGCCATACTCTGCACTGGCTAATGTCTGTGGCCCTCAGACATCCCTGCAACCCCGACAGGGAGGTGTTTGTAAACCTGACACATGTGGTCACTCATGAAATCATCCCACCCGATCCCCTGGGACTAGGGGGGAAAAGACCAGGTCATTATCTGCCGTAACACATCCTAACAAAATCCTGTCAGGGGGATTTTGCAGGTCAGCGAGAGCAGAGTCTGCATCAGACCCTTCTTACCCTTGAGTGCCCCCTTGCCCCTCCGTCCAGCTCAGTTGCTGACCTCGGAGAGGTTGCTCCTCCACTCGACAGCACAGGGTTGTGTGGTTCCTTCCCGGTGTGGCCCAGGAGAACATCCCAATGCTCAGCCCCCATCTCATCCTAGCTATTTTTGGTTTCTTCCCCAGGAAACAACGCACCGTTGGCCTCTCGTGATGATGTCTTTCCAGGAGTTTACCTACCACTTCAGAGTAGCACAGCCTGTGAGTACCAGCAGCTGCTTTGTCCCTCCTCTTGTCCAGGGCTGAGCGGAAGGAGAGCGATGGGACCGTGGCAGGTTCCTCCATCCACAGCCCTCTCCATCGTGGCTGTCGCCTTCTACAGTTACATGGGTAGTGGGGGGTATGATTTTTCTCTGCCCCAGCACATAATTCAGGCACAATTCCCCCCTTGGAGCATGCATGCTACCCCTCTCTAAGCTCTTTTTCTCACTCTCTCACAGGGCCGAGCCAACTGCAGCACTGCTCCCGAGCAGATGGGACACCTTTTCACTGACTATTATTTTCAGTTTTACTGGCTCTGTGAGTGAGTCCTGGCAGCACCAGTGCCCTCTGGTTGGGGAGAGGAGGGGGACTGGTGACACTGGGGAGACTCCTGTACACCTTCCTCCACTAGCCCCCAGCCCCACCTTCCCCCCGTCTCCCGCGTGGGGCGTGGAGCTGGTTTGGTTGTGGCTGGTGACGCCGACACTGAAGCACAAGCACACGCGGAACATAGGACCTAAAGCCCCAGGAACGCAACCAGCCTTGGGGTAGCTCCTGGGCTCACCTCGCACCGACTCCCACCATCCCACGCCGCCCCGACCATCTCTCTCCTTCCCTTCCGGGGACGCTCGTGTCCTCCGTCACTTCTCCCTCCCTTTGCAACACTGGATTTGAAAGCATTACACTGGACTGGACGTGGACGGGTCTGCCACCTCCCAGAGTGCGGCTGGGAGCTCCATCCCGTACTGGCCCAGCTCTACCACGTCAGTTCTTCACAACACTGGAATTGCTCAACACTGGAGCCCTTTCCAAGAGCGAAACGCTGGAGTTTGGCCTGGAAAGGAAGGCTGTGCCTGGACGTACTGGAAGTCGTACGTACACTGGAGTTGCTGTTCCTTCTAGTTGGCCCAGGGCCGTCCCCCACAGCCCCACTCCACAGAGCCCCGGACCCACAAACGGACTGTCCTCTGTGGACAACAAGAGAAGGTGCAGCTTCAACGTTAGCCCTGTCTGTTCCCTTCCTCACTGTACTCTTAACTTTCACCATATCCAGCTCTGGATGGATAAACTGAAGAACCCCACTAAAGATGCTGCTGAGGCTGTGCCCAGGCCAAACCCTGTGTGGGGATAATTGCCATCAACCCATGGGAGAAAAATCACCCTGACTCACCTGCATTAAGCCTCATGGGACCCGGGTTATTTTGGTTGATCTTTTTTCTTTTTTTTTTTTTTTTTCATTTGGCAGCAGCATGTGGCCTCTCGCAGCGTATGTGGAGCTGCCCGGTCAGCTCTCAAGTCAACACGCCACCTCTGTGCAGAGGTGTGGAAGAGAGATCACTGGCAAAGCCCGGTGCGCCCTGCAGAGCAAGGCCGAGGCGCTGGGGACGCGTGACGTGGCTTCACAGCCCCCTCCCCAGGCCAGCAGATCTCTGCCAGGCACTGAAGAGGCTGATCCTCTTCCACAAAGAGGGGGACGGCAGTGACCGCGGGCCCTCGCTGTCACTGCTCTCAGAAAGCAGTTATGTTGGAGTGTATTTTGGGTATTTTACTGTTACAAGTTCTTAACTTGCTAAACTACTGAATTTATTATTTTTTTTTTTTAAGCCGTATAAAAATGGGTCTCTCGATTCTATCCCTATTGAGCTACGTGTGTCTTGCATAAGAAACCAAAGGGGGCCACTGCTAAGCTCCACGTTAAGGCTTGACTGCTACGGCAGTGCTGGAACACATCAGACTGACCGACCAGCACGTGTATCCTCCTCCCCGTCCTGCTCCAGCACCTCTTGCTAAAAAGGAGAGACCGGCATTCCCCAAGGCTGAGCCACCGCCAGGCTCTTACGCCCGAGATAACAAGTTTCTCGAAGAAAACAGCAGCCACGGCTGGGGAAGGGCGGTGAGGGGGAAACGCCACCCCACTCCTCCTGCAGCACGCTCGAAAGCTGGCTTCAAAAAGAAGAGCACACCTTGCCCTTCACAGCCCCGTCACCGGGTGGAGGAGACTTGAACCAAACTGGTTTTGGGAAACTGCATCAGGCTCCAGCTGCTGCCTTTTGCTGCTTTCAGCGGAGACAGATGCAGAGATCCCTTTGCCAGCTGCAGGCCGTGGTGTTACGAGCACCGAGGAGGAGTGTGTGGCTGGCTCTGCTGCTCCGGAGAAACAAGCTGCAAAGATTTTTTTTTTTTTTTTTTTTTAATCCAGATAGAGGGATGGCTCCTGCACGAATCTTGTGGGACCCTCCGCAGCCTTCTCGCCCCAGCCTGGGGCATGGTTTGATCTCCTGTTGCCCATCTCAGAACTTCTCAGCTTGTCCCAGCAAAGCAGCCGCAGCCCTGCAGTTCCTTGCGAGGTGGCTAGGAGCAGGCATGTCTGCCACCAAAGGCTCTTTCTTTGTAGGGCGGCTTCAAGGCCAGGTCTTCATTCCCCCTGTACACCCACAGGCAGCAAACACTCACCTACACACCGGTGATGCTCTCCAGTTATTAAAATGTACTGGGCAGGCAGGAACCAGAGGGCGAGCAGGGCAGCCAAGCAGCAGCAAAGCTAGGGGATTACCCTGAAAAAAAGCAAGAGGTCCCAAGGCTTGGGAGTGCTGGTTGCGAGCAGGTCAGCCCCACGCTCAGCAGGATTCTCTGTCTCTGCCTGCAGCCAGGAAGGAAATGCTCCACTGGCGCTCTGTAGCTCAGGGCTCTTCCCTCCACCTGCCCTGAGCTTTTTTGTATGGCCTTAAACTGGGAAGTTACTTTCTTGTGGCAGCTTTTATTCTCCTCTTGGCAATCAGTGGCCCAGTCTGACAAGTCCTTAATTCAGGCGAGTGATGTCCCGTGCTCTTCGAGGTCTGCTCAGCTGAGAGGTAGCCACCTCAGAGCTGCTCTTTCCCCTTGTATTCTTGAGCTGGGCTAAATCCCCGTGTGCTCGTTTAGCCCCCCTGCAGAGGTAACGGGTGGTGTTTCGAGGGCCAGAGCTGAAAGCATTGCCTGCAATCCTGCCCCCACCCCCCCACTGGCGGTCCTGGCTGAGGTCAGCCGAGCCCTGCTGTGGGGAAAGCCACTCCTGGAGGGGAGGAATCAATCAATCGCCAGAAACGCGCTAGCAGCAGCGGCCCCAGAGGAGATGGAGTCTCTCAGGTATCCCTGCGACGCTTCACCGTGGGGCTCACGAGGGCCCCCCATGCAAACCAAGTGCCTAAGGGCTATGGGAACGTCTCTAGTGCCTTTTTTCTGCTAAGGGGACAGCACGAGGGGACAGCGGTTTCCCACGCGTGTGTAAAATGCTGCGTGCCTTGAAAACGGTGGCCAGATAGGAACTGAGATGAGGCAGCACCTGAAGAGCAAAGGCCGGCCCTACCCAGGTCCAGCTGTTTCACGGCAGCGCAGCACCAGGCTGACAGGAATCCCTCCTATCATCAAGAGAGCAGAGGGAGTCAGAATGCAGTTTTTAGCAACTTATACCACAAATAATACCTTTTGTCTTAAAGTATATCCCAAAGCGCATGCCAGTTCCAGCAGCTGCTGCGCAGCAAGGCAGAAACGAGCTCAAAAGGGGGTCGTAATTAATTAAAGGGTCAGGGGATTGGCTTCTAAGCCTGCAGAAACAGCTGTTTGCATAGACACCTTCCCCCCCCCAAAAGGTGCCTCTGCCCTAACTGAAGACGCGCTCCCCCATCCCCAATCAGTAACGAGAGAGTTAACAATCAGGCCTTTCCCTGCGTGAGACGGAGGGAAGCTCTGAGCCGATGTCTCCAGCCATACAGCTCGGGGAAAAAAAAACCCTCTTTTTCCGCTGGAAATGAGACGCTTCATCTCTCTAGACATTCTTGGCAGGAAGGAAGATAAGTGCGGAAACGAGGCCACTTGCCAAAGTTTGGCTGTTTCGGAGTTTGTTTCAAAAGCAACTTCACAAACATTCTGTCCTACTGTTAGAGCTTAAAGCCTGTAAATAGAGACTATGCCATCACTGCAAGAATTAAGAAAAAAAAAAAAAGTAAAGCACTAATTTGTTTGGTTTAAATGTTGCTGTCACAGCTTTAATCACTGTATATTGCCAGCAAGTTTGTAGAGTTGCATTCTTAGCAGGTATTATTGATTATTGGTTTTTATTTGTGGGGAACAAGCGTGGTTTCCCTCCTTTCTTTCTGATTTATATTTATATTTTGCTGAATTTGAGTGCTGAGTCTCCGGATTCCCCACTTTTTTTTTTTTTGTTTGGCTTATTTAGACTTTGTTTTATGCTGGAGGAAAATATGCCCATATAAATAAATATATAAATACTGCTTTGTACCCAAGGATGGCTCCTGGTGCATTCCTCCCTTGCTGTGAAATAACAGTCTTTCTGCTCAGGAGCTATAAAACCACCTCCCACAAGAACAGAACAACCCCACCTGTGTCATTAATCAGAGGGAGTTTCCAGAGGTGCCCATGCAGGGTCCAGTCAGGGTCAAAAAAGCTCACTGCTGTGCAGCATGCTTTTGAATTGGTATTTGAAAAAAAAAAAAAAAAAAAAAGCTCTCGTTGATCATACCTCAGAGGTGAGGGCCAGATCCAGAGGCATCCGAGAGCAGCTGCAGAGGGAAAGCTTCCTTCCCAAGCAGGAAATTAAGGCTTAAAATCTGTAAGCCACCTACCGAATTTCTGATTTGGACATCTAATTGCTTTGAAATCTGGGCTACAAAGTCAAAGCTCCCTATAAAAACAGCACACCATAAATAAACTCTTCTTTTATAGGATAGTTAATTCACTACTTACAGGCCCATCCAGCCACAAGAATATTCTGTCCTGTACTTCTCAAGCATTCCTCCCAAGACCTCCCTCCCCACAACCGCAGCCTGTGGTGCCCCCCAGCCAAGCATTACTCTCGCTTTGGTCCAGTGTGGCACCCGGGGATCCCTGGCCTGAGCCATTTCACCCACACCAAACTCTACGTCCACCATTGGCTCTATTTCTAGCGCGGGGGGGTCCCCAACATGCATTGCCGAGGGTAAGCGAAGCCTCCCTCCACTTTGCGAGGGGCCACGAGCACTGCTGAGCCACAAAGCTGCTGGCTTGGGGTAAGACTGGGCACAGCCTGCCAGAAAAGAGAGGATGCGATGGTAATGGAGGTGGAGGGATACAAAAGCAGGCTCGGGGGGAAGCAGGAAGCATTTATTTTCTAAAATCTAGCAGTACTAGGGCGCAAGGTAGAACTGAAACACTTCTGGGCGTACAGCTGTGGAAATCTATGATAAACACTGGGTATCTGAAAGACAAACCATGAGCCCAAAGGCAGACGCATCACAGAGCCAGTTTTATTCAGGTTGGGTTTGCTGGGCTGGCAGAAGTGACTCGACAGGAGCACAGTCCATGTCTGATCCGGGATTTGTTGTCGAAGTATAAAAGAAATATAAAAAGAGTTTCCGCAGGGCTTCGCACCTGGAGCCAAAGGAGAGATGGAGGAGGTCGGCGAGACAGGGCTTCGCAGGACCAGCCTCTGCTGCACCCGAAGTTGCAGCGCAGAGGAGAACACGCAGCACACGTGACTCCCTCCTGCCTCGAGCGGGGATGAGCGCCCGTTCTGCCCAGTTATTGTGGCCACGAGCCCAATTATTGTGGCCACGAGCCCAGTTACCGTGGCCACAGACACACCCTCCAGCTAAGTTACCCAACAGATGCTTTGCAGCTCGGAGGAACTGTGATGCTTAAGCCCCAAAGCTGCTGCTGGGCTGAGGGGACAGCCTTTTGTACAGCTTAACTTTGCACCCCGGAGGAAAATGGGTTTTGTAAAGCTCAGCTGCTGCAGGGTTTGTTTCCAGGTCACTCCCCCGTGACACATGCAGAGCGACTTACATCCCTCGGGGTTCACGCGGCGCTGGCGGTGCTCCTCAGACGTAGATACCGACCCAAAGCAGCAGGAAGAGGACGCCGAAGCCCATGAAGAGCGAGGCCACCAGTGAGATCAACAGCTCCTTGTAGATGTCCCGCGTGTACTTGGTAGAAGTCACCTCGTAGCTGCAGCCCCAGGGGTCAAGGTGAAAACGGAGAGAGAGTGAAGTGAGGAAACCCCCCCCCGCCCACTGCCCTGCACCCCCTCACCCCCCACCTCCCCAGCCCAGGGATACACGAAAAACCAGGCGGTGAAAAACATGCCGATGGCCAGCAGCACCACGGTGAGGTGCGGGAAGACAGCCGGGTTCACCGGGCTGGTGTATCGGCTCATCGCCTCCAGCTCCTGTGGGGAGAGGGTGAAGGTGAGCGGCACAGCCGGGAACGGATCCTGATCCTGCTCCCAGCCCCAATACCAGCTCCGATCCCAATCCAGATCCTGATCCTGGCCCCAATCCCAATCCAGATCCCAGCGCCAGCTCTGATTCAGATCCTGATCCCAGCTCCGGGCCCTATCCCTGCCCCGATCCCAATCCAGATCCCAGCTCCGGCCCCAACCCTGATCCCGATGCCAGCCTTGATCCCAATCCAGAGCCTGATCCCGGCTCCAGCCCCGACCTTGATCCTGGCTCCGATCCCAATCCAGATCCCGGCTCCGGCCCCGATCCCAGCCTTGATTCCAATCCAGATCCAGATCCCGGCTCCGGCCCCGATCCCAGCCTTGATTCCAATCCAGATCCTGATCCCGGCTCCGATCCAGATCCTGGCTCCAGACCCAATCTCGCTCCAAATCCCGATCCCGTCTCCGGCCCCGATCCCGCTCCCTCTCCCGACCCCGGCCCGCTCCCTCCCCTTCTCCTCTTCTCCCCTCTCCCTCTCACCATGACTCTCGGTTCCCGGTTCCCGCTCCGACACGTCGCCCCAGCCCCAGCTGCGACCCGCCGGAAGCGGAAGAGGAGCGGGGTACGCCGGGATGGGTGGGCGGGGCGAGCAGGGAGCCGCTCGCTATTGGCTCCACCGCCTCCCGGTGGGCATTGCGGCTGGAGCGCGGGAGAGAGTTGCGGGGTAATGGCGGCTGGGGAGGCTGAGGCGGGCCCGGAGGAGGGGACGCGGGTGATAATGGCGGCTGGGGCAGGCTGAGACGTGCCTCGGGGGTATAATGGCGGCTGGGGGAGACAGAGGCGGGCCTGAGGGGGTGTCTGTTGGCTTGTTGGCTGAGAGAGGCCGCTGCGGAAAGGGGGTGGAGCGGGGGATAACGGGGAGGCTGTGGTTAGAAGAGGAGGATAATAAAGAACCCTGAGGAGAGGGGATGGGAACGGCGGGCTGGGAGAGCGGGAAGAGGGGGATAATGGAAGTGGGGCAGGTAACGGCGAGCTGGGGGAAAGGGAAGAGCGGGGAGGCTGCGGCCAGAAGTAATAATAGGTAGGGGGGTAATGGTGGAGCTGGACAATGGGAGGCTGATGGGGCCTGGATGGTTATAATGGTGGGGCTGGGGAGGGTGAGGTGGGAAGCGGGGCTGTGGTAGTCAGCGGAGGCTGCAGCCCGGCAGGGAAGGATCTGTAGGGGAAGCACCCACTGCCCTTGGGTCCCCCCCATTTAGGTGGTCCACCACCCCCACAGCCCAAGCTGTGAACCCCCGGCACAGTGGGTGGGCAGCAGCTGATCCCAACAGCCCCTTTTCCGCCCCCCAGGATGGGAATCCATGGCCTGGCCAAGCTCATTGCCGACGTGGCTCCTAATGCCATCCGGGAGAACGACATCAAGTCTTACTTCGGCCGGAAGGTCGCTATCGATGCCTCCATGAGCATCTACCAGTTCCTGATCGCCGTGCGGCAGGGAGCTGAAGTCCTTCAGAACGAGGAGGGTGAGACCACGAGCCACCTCATGGGCATGTTCTACCGGACCATCCGCATGGTGGAGAACGGCATCAAGCCCGTTTACGTCTTCGATGGCAAGCCCCCGCAGCTGAAATCAGGGGAGCTGGAAAAGCGGACTGAGCGCCGGGCAGAGGCCGAGAAACACTTGCAGGAGGCTCAGGAGGCCGGGGAGGAAAACAACATTGAGAAATACAGCAAGAGGCTGGTCAAGGTGACCCAGCAGCACACTGAGGAGTGCAAGAAGTTGTTAACGCTGATGGGCATCCCCTATGTGGAAGCACCAGGGGAGGCTGAGGCCAGCTGTGCTACGCTGGTGAAGGCTGGGAAGGTCTACGCAGCCGCCACGGAAGATATGGATTGCCTGACCTTTGGCAGCCCCATCCTGATGCGGCATCTTACTGCCAGCGAGACAAAGAAGCTGCCCATCCAGGAGTTCCACCTGAACCGTATCCTGCAGGATCTAGACCTGACCTGGGAGCAGTTTGTGGATCTGTGTATCCTCCTGGGCTGCGACTACTGCGAGAGCATCCGTGGCATCGGGCCCAAGCGTGCTGTTGAGCTCATCCGGGAGCACAAAACCATTGAGAAGATCGTTCAGCAGATAGACACCAAGAAATACCCTCTGCCTGAGAACTGGCTGCACAAAGAGGCCCAGAAGCTCTTTCTAGAGCCTGATGTGGTCAACCCCGACACCGTTGAGCTGAAGTGGACCGAGCCGAATGAGGAGCAGCTCGTCCAGTTCATGTGTGGGGAGAAACAGTTCAACGAAGAGCGGATCCGCAACGGGGTCAAGAGGCTGAGCAAAAGCCGGCAGGGCAGCACACAGGGCCGGCTGGACGACTTCTTCAAGGTCACGGGCTCCATCACGTCAGCCAAGCGCAAAGAGCCGGAGACCAAGGGGTCAGCAAAGAAAAAAGCCAAAACCAACAACACCACAAAGAGCAAAAAGGGGAAATAGCCAGACTGGCCGCCTGCAAACCCCTCTGATGAGTTTTTACTCTCGACCAGGAATTTTAGGCTAATAACAAACGGTCGTTTTTTCTGTTCTGCTTGTTAGTGCTAGGAAGGATCATGCTAAACTGCTTCCCAACAAGACTAGGTTAGTGGATCAGATAAGTGTGTTACTGCGCATCAGTAGTAACGTAGGAAGCTGGGAGAGGAAAATGCTGAAACAACTGCGGGGGGGGGGGGGGGGCAGGCGGGTGAGGAACCAGGGGGTCGCATCCAGCAGTTCAGCACCAGCGTTCAGCCATTTGAGACTTGATGAGGAAGCCACTGGGACTGGGGGTGATTCCCAGGCTGTGGAGTGAAAGGGAGGTGTTGATCACAAACAACCTCTCTGATTTAAGGGGGGGTGGGGGGGGGGCAGAAAAAGGCAAACTGGGTACAAATGATAGAGATTTCTACCTGACACGATCCATCCAAAAAGAGATAGGTGCAAGGAGCAGAGTCTGAAGGAGAAACTGGGGAGATGTGAATGGAAGGCAGGCTGGAGTTGGGAAGGAGGCTTGAAATGAGGAGGTGAACTTCTCCCATTACTGAGGTTTGGGTATAGGTTCTTCCTTCCCTTATTGTAGTCATTTTGCTTAAAAAAAAAAAAAAAAAAAAAAAAAAAAAAGTTGTAATCCTGGTTCCAGCAAAGTTCTGGCCCACTCTTAATGCACAAACCAAGGACAAGCTGAGCTGAGACTGCAGCTCTCCAGGCCTGAATTTTGCTGCTAGGTGTTGGTTCATGTTTAAAAAGAAAAATGTCAGTAAACCTAGAAGGGAAGCCTGTTCACTCCCTGATTTCATGAGGCAATCCTTCTGTGTTGTACATGCAGAGACAGGTCCCAGGCTAAGAAGAAAAAAGATAGCGTCTCTTATTTTTCTTATTTTATTCTGTATTTTGCATAGTCTTTTCCTCTTACTTGTCAAAGCAGTGTGCTGGGTTTTGTTTTCAGAATAAAATTTATACCCAACTACAATGTTTCTCATTCTCTGGAAAGGTGGCTTAAACCTTGTTGCTGAAGGCTGCACGGGTGAAGAAAAATCCCAGTTTTAGGGAGAAACCCATTGGTGACAACAGCCAACAAATCAGGCATGGGCCTGAATTCAGGAAATGAGTTTTAAGCTTTTAGATGCTTTGTAGACAAAGATCTGTGGGTGAAGTCTCTGCCAGGTTATAAAATAAGCAGCTGGGCTAGTTTCACAGGGGAATTCCATCAACATTGATAAAATAATCCTGATTTTTAAGACACCTCTGAAATTTTCTTAAATGTAGTGTGAAGAATAGCAGCAAGTGCTGCACATGGAGCTTCGAGTTGGATGTTCTGCCTGGCTGCAACTTGCCGCACGGGTGGGAGGGGGCACCCAGAGCAGAGCACCCAAAACCTACATGTCTGCTTCTCTGATCTGGTGGTTTTCACAGGGTCTCAGCTTAACATTAATTCCAGGCTTGAAACTGGAGAGATTTAGACAAGAAGAAGCCTGGATGCTTCCAAGGAGGGCGGCTGTAGCCGCTGTGCTTTGAGATGGACATCTGTGCGAGCGTTGGTGCGGCGGTCGCTCGGCCCATCATGTTATTTGCAGAATCTGCACCCAGAAAGCCAGGGAGGTGCTGCGGGGAAAACCAGAGTTTAAAATCAACTTGAGGGGTGATGCTTTAGCACCTGTTCTGTGTATTTATGTATTTAACAAGGCTTCTAGCTGCAAATATTTGTGCTGTCAACCCTGAATCCTTGTCACCTCTTGTACCACGAGCTTTTTTTCCCCTCAGCTGGAAAAACGCTCAGAGAGTTTAAGCAGCTTCTAAACCTCCTCTTGCTGGTTTGTATTTTCTGATGAAGTGGAGCCCAGGCAGAGTTGTCCCCGGAGGCTTTAAGCTGGAGCCTTGCTGGGCAGGTTAGTTTGGTAGCCTGGCTTTTCTGGGGTGTCCAAGTCCCCCTTCCTCCCCCAGCCTGATTTACTTGGTCACCAGGGTAAGTTATCCCTACACTGTTACAAGACATAGTAGACTATACTACTGATTTGGTACAATATATATGGTATATAGTAGGCTATATTGTATGTTCTATAGTAGGATATATAGTAGGCGATACACTATTACGATACATGGTAGACTATCTACTACATTAATTTTAAAAGACAAAGATACTGATCTTTTGAAATGTACTTAGTATATGTAGAAACCTATCAGTGAAAAGTGACTGAAATGCTTTTTATTACGTTGCTAAGATCCCATCCTTAACTGGTATTCACCTGGTAGTCATGGTGGTACATTTTATCTACTCAGATTTCATTACTTGATTATGTTATTTAATTTCAAAATGCAGTAACAACAAAAAAATGGGGTTGTGTTTTCTTGATGTGTATCTTCTTCAATGTTTCAATCCATAATTTGCCCTAATAGGAGCTTCATAATTAAATATTTCAATTTTATCCGTGAATACTTAAGTAAAGAAAACCTTTAAATGACAATAATTTCTCTAATGAGCTTGAAGTAAAATCATACATGTGATTGCCATGATTAGACACACGGTGTTTGTTTCATACACCGGGTTTGTGCTGTTACACCGAGGTCCACGATGTGCTTCGTACCTTTGGGTTGGAAGTGCATCTTCTCTGCCTCTGCGGCTTCCCTCGGTGCATCCTGTGTAGGATGCAGCTGCAGTGGGGAACTCTGGGCGCAGAAGTGACCTTGAACTGGAGAAATCATTTTTTTCTAAGTCCAAACTGTAACAAACATCACATATGCAGGGAGGCAAAGCGATCTCTGTGCACACTTGACTTCGGTTACAGCACTCAACTTTTCAGCTACCTTAAACTGGATAGTTTAAGCAAAGCTCTAAAGTCACACAGTCCAAACAGGAGAATAAATTCCAAACCCTGGCATCCCATTAAACATTATTTATGTATGGCTTCTTTCCCACATGTGGCTCATCACAGGTGAGAACATCTCCCTCTCCACATCAGCACTGAGCAAAGAAAGGTTAATGAGCCTTGCAGGGTAGGTGGGGACAGGACCCAAATCCAAACTTTTTCCAGGCTTTTCTGAGAGTTTCTAATAATCCCCTCCGTGGCTGGCAGGAAGCGCTTTGCCCAGCTAAGATTTACTTCAGGGATTTTTAGCGATGAGAGCCAAAGGAGTAAATAAACCCAGAAGCTTTCACCCTGCACAAGCTCCTTTGGGATGGCAGCACCACCCACTCCAGTCAAAAGCCTGGTGCCACGCACTGTTGCTTCTTGCTGACAGAGCTGCTGTGTTACTCGGCCTCACTTCAGAGTGTCGCATCTGCAAACTGCCTCTTCCCTCCTCCCACAGCGTCAGAGGGATTGGAAGAACAGCAGAAAATAGGTCGCATTTCTTCTGCCTGCCTTAGGACGAGGCACACGCAGCATGTGCGGATCGCAGCGGGGTGTCTCGGGATGGTGGGCGAGGGTGTGGTGTTACACAGGGTTGTAGGCACTGGCTTCCAGAGTAAAATTAAACCCCACAGTATTCATGCCTGAAATTTTACCGATTCAGGGCAAAATCTCATCAGCAGAATATACCTCAACAATATATTTTTCATATATCTGGATTTCTAGGCATTATCTTCAGGCTTTCTAAGTATGTGTCACCATCTTATTGTGATAAAACCTCCAAGAAAGCATTTGAAAAGCTGCTCTTCTGCCCTGGACATCTATAAACGGAACAGGGAAGGCAGCTGGAAGACAAGAGCAGGACTGTGCTCTGCAGCAGCACAGAAAGCCCTGTAGCCTGGGAGTATTACGCAGGGCTCAGCCCGTGAGGAAGTCTTCCAAGATTTTTCTCTAGGAAGACTAAAAATATGCTGCAGAGCCTAAAGCAACCTTCTGCTTCTGCCCATGCTGCAATATTATTCCTCCTTTGCGGAAGGCAAGAGCTTGGTCCCAGCAGTGGGGTTGGGCGGAACTGTGATGGATTTTTGTATATAAGGATGTTTGCGCGTTCTCAAAAAATGTGAAAGGGAAAAGCAGCTGCAGCCAAAACCTAGAAATATCTTACCAGCTATTTCTGCTATGTTGGAACCTCATAAATATTTGTAAAGTGAAAATTCTGTCTGTTACAGAGATATATGTAAGACTCTGGGTTCGTACCAGAAAAGTGGAGTGCAGTGATAGATCTCAAATGTGAGAGCCACCCTGATGGGAACTGCTGAAGCCAAGAATGACGATTAAGTAACACATTTCTGATGCCTGGTGTGTGAGCAGAACTGCCAGGCATCACCCACAGCGTCCTGCCACGCTCCGGGCAAGAGAAACAGCAGCGTGTCCTGTTTCAGGAGGTCCCAATCACACCCTTACAAAAGGTATTGTAAGTGTCTTTGAACCTCAGGAGACAGCTGAGCATTGGGTTTCATTATTTCAGAGAAATAGTTTATGCCGTCTCCCTGCCAAAGGAGGGGAGCTGCAGGGACAATCAGTGTGGAAGAGATTTTACTGAGGTGGTGGCACACAGCTTTGCTTCGATTAAAGCTTGGTCCCAGCAGTGGGGTTGGGTGGATCTGTTATGGATTTTTCCATGTAAGGATGTTCAAGTGTTCCCCCAAAATGGTCGTTTGATGGAAAGGAAAAGCAGCTGCATCCAAAACCTAGAAATATCCTACCAGCTGTTAATCTTTTGCTCAGATTAAAGTCCTCTTTCCCTGCTATTCAGCTCAGGTACTACACCATCACCTGCCTGCCTTGTGGTTATTTTTACTACCAGTTGTTTGTTTGTTTGTTTGTTTCCTTACATTTTCTGTTCTAAACAAATATTTCCACTGCTCTTTATCTCACTAATATTGTTAGTGATACCAATACCACTATTTATACCAGCAGCAAGTCTTTCAGGTGTATGAAGGATTCATCACTGCTGTGCTCTGCTAGAAAGAGTAACTGGCACTGGAGGGGCTTGATTAGCAAAAAAAAATTTCTGTGTGCAAGGTGTTTTGTGGTTTGGAAATGAAGGCACCAGTTGTCTTTCAGCTATATGGAGTCTTCTGATAAGTGATTTTTTTTTTTTTCCTTCTCACCTCCTGGATTCCCATGAATACAGCTAACAGCTTGCTATTACACATATAACACATTATATACAATTCATTTCTTAGTCTCACAATTGTGAAAAGCAGCCTGCAAATGCCTGCTTTCGCTAGCTTGAGTGGTTAAAAACATGGAAATAATAGTTGAGCTCAAGCCGATAAAAAAAAAAAGAAAGTTAAGTGTAATAAAACCCTGTTCCACTGTGATTTACAACACTGGGGGGAAATATTTCCCTCTGTGCTGGAACCTGACCAAGATTATCAACAGAAATGTGGCAGCTCAGCCTGTTTTTGCTACCATTGCAGAGCAGCTTCTGTCCTGGGCTGTCAAGTGACCCCCCCCAGCCCCCAGCAGCTCACTGGCTGGGTTGGTGCGGGCAGCCGGGGATCCAGCACAGCCCAGCAGAGAGGGAACATCAGGTTTTGGGGTGCCCAGGATTGTCATAACTCATACTTGTTTAGTCTTCTCACGGGGACAAAGAAATATGCTCCCCTTTTCTGCCTCCTAATGAAATGAGATGACAAGTTTGCAAATTATTCACCCCTTCTCCAGTTTTCAAATCATTAAATATTGGGTTGGTTGTTTTTTTTTTAAGGAAAAAAAACCCTAATTTTTTGATTCAGCTTCATGATTAAAGAGAGTAAGGACAAAATGCAATCTCTGAGAGGTTTTGGATGAGTTGCTCTGCCTGTGAGGATTTGCTGAGAACTTAAGATGTTATCTCAAGAATCAAGGCTTTGTACTTTTAACGGACAGAAGCATCAAAGCAAGCCATGCCATTGCTCTTTTCTATTTTGCTGTTTCTCCTCTTTCCGACAGGCACGCTACTATGAAATGTGGTAATATGGCTCAAGGCAATCACACCATGGTGACCCAGTTCCTCCTCTTAGGACTGACAAGCGAGCCTAAGCTGCAGTCTCCTCTCTTCATACTCTTCTTCACGATTTATCTCATCACCTTGATGGGCAATCTTGGGCTGATCACACTGATCAAGACAAACCCCCGGCTGCACACTCCCATGTACTTCTTCCTCTTCAATCTGTCTGTTGTTGATCTTTGCTACTCCTCTGTCTTTTCCCCAAAGCTGCTTATTGGTCTCTTGGTGAAAAAGAAAACCATTTCTTTCTCTGCCTGCTTTGCCCAGCATTTTTTTTTCCTTCTGTTTGTGACCACAGAGGTGTTTTTGCTGGCTGTGATGGCATACGACCGCTACGTAGCCATTTGCAACCCGCTGCTCTACATTATTTCTATGCCCAAGAGGGTCTGCGTTCAGCTGGTGGCTGGGTCATACGTAGGGGGGATTTTGAACTCACTAATCCAAACGTGTTCCTTGCTGCCATTGCCTTTTTGTGGACCCAATGTCATCAACCATTACTTCTGTGACACTAACCCCCTGCTGAAACTCGCCTGCTTAGATGACCACCTCAATGAGCTTTTGCTTGTAACTTTCAACGGGACCATTTCCATGTCTGTGCTCTTCATCATCATCATCTCCTATGTATACATCCTCTTCTCCATCCTGAGGATGAGATCTGTCGAAGGAAGGCACAAAGCCTTCTCCACCTGTACCTCCCACCTCCTGACTGTGACCTTGTTCTACGTGCCCGCAGGGCTGAGCCACATGCAACCAGGCTCCAAGTACTCACTGGAGATGGAGAAAGTCACTGCCGTGTTTTATACCCTGATTGTCCCTATGCTCAACCCTCTGATCTACAGCCTGAGGAACAAGGAGGTGAAGGATGCACTTAGAAAAGCAACAGCAAATAATAGTTTTGTGAGTTGCCTGCTGATCAAAGTGACCCCAATCAGCTGATAAAACTCCTGCTGCTTCCCTTTCTAAATAGTCTTATGTAAGGAACAACTTATATTTACAGAAGTAGGTATAGCAAATTTTAAGCATCCTTTAAAATCGGCAGAGACTCGGTGTTACCAAATATCCTGTCGTTACAGGTCTCCGATAAATATTTCCTTGTCATTTCTTGTTTCTTTTTCTGTGAAGTGATGTAATATCATAGGAGTTGATAAAATAGCTCATAAGGAATTTCCCTCTTTAGCTCAGCTTCTTAAGAAGTTGCCCTGATTCAAGCAGCAATTCCTCCAGAGGCAAATTCAAGGAGGACTAGAGGCTTTTGAGGAGGTATATCCATAAATAACCCACACCTTGCTTTGGGCTAACTACAAGGGGGAAAAAAAAAAAAAAAAGGAAAATTCATTTGCTTCCAGGGGAGCGTACCATGGAAAGTAAGGAAAGGGAGGAGAAGCTGAGACCACGGAGCTGCTGGGGGATGAGAGCAGTGTGTGCTGTGATCTGGCATCAGGAGGATGGTGCCCAGAACCCCTCAGCCCGGAGGCAGCGTGGCCGTGGCTGTGCTGAAACCTTCCCACTGTTTTTCCTCCAGACCTGGAGGGACTTTCCACCCCAGCAGCCAGGGCTTTTCCTGCTGAGCTCCCAAACATTTTCCTCCCTAGGGGATGAAAGCTCTGGATTGTCCCTGCCAGCATAGCAGAGCTGTTTGCCACCAGCACGGATGTCACCCTACTCCTTGCTTCCTAGCTGCAAGGCTTCCAACTCAGCCAAACAGCTTTGCTCTGTAGGAGAAAATGGGCTTCATCTGACCTGCATCTTACATCTGCATTAAGAGAAGCAGCAGCAGCACCTGGCAGTGGTATTTCTCCCTCTTGGCAGGGAGTTTCGTGTGATTGAATGTAACTAGCTATGGAGGAATATTTTTTTCCCCCTATTTTCTTGTCATGGGGCAGATGTAAATGATATTTCTCCCCAGTCAAATCTTCCCCAGGAGAGTTGTAAAGCTGAGAAGGTACCACCAAGGGATGCTGCAGAATCTCACACTCTCCAGAGCAGAGAAAACTGAATGCAACCTGCTAGAGACCTTGAGCAAGAAGAGCTGGGGTGCTAGGTCCCCACAGAGAGATGAGGGAGGTTATCTGTCACTTAATGTTAATTTGCACATGGCTGCATCTGAGTTAGTCCAGACATTGTTTTTTTTCCATAGCTAAAATAAAATATTAATATTCCTAGCATGACTTTTTTAGATAGCCACAGAAATAATAACTTAAGCACACCCACTGTATTGCTATACCAGTAATTCTTTTTTTTTTTCCTCACATGCAAGAATTTACATTGTAGATACCCAATATAGAGGAAAATAACATCCACTCAGGGCATGCATCTGAGCAAGGGCCATATCTCTTGAGACAGCCACCAGAAAAGGTGATGGTGGGGAGATCTTTATAACACTTACCTTTCATAACAGCTTGCTTTATCTTCAGCTTGGAAACTAGATGGTCTTGTCTTACATTAAGAGTTCTTCACGCTGTTTGCATAATGCAGCATGGCTCAGGGAGCAGCAAGGACCAGTTACTCCCTCAGGGAAGGCAAACTGGGAGCTGAAGGTGGCCATGATGCAGGGCACAGACCCACAGTGCCTGAGATCAGCAGCAGCTCCCATTAACGGCCCAGGAGAACCCAAGGACCAAATTCAAGCCCCAAAAGCTGAAGACCATAACCAAGCACAGCTCTGAAAGTGGTTAAAGACCCAGGGCTGAGCTTAAATAGTGCCCTAATCCTGGGGTAGGGAGTGTGGGTGGCAGCTCCAGGTGATGCTGGTCATGGCAATTACCGTGGGCACACACCCTGATGTCTCAGAGGGAGGGGAACTGGGTTTTTTTTCCCCCACCGCAGGGCCCTAAACCCAGTTACAGCACTCTATCCAGCCTGCTCTGATGTATCTCTGTGCCCAGAGGATGGAAGGATAGAATAGAAAGGAGCAATGAGCTCCTTTGCTGTGTGTTAATGATTCTTGTCCCTCCTGAGTCATGCAGAATAAGGCCCTTCAGATGTCACGTTCTCTGTTTCTCAGGGAAATTGTCCAAATGCTTGTACTTTTCGTGAAAACTCCATCAGAAACTTTGATTAGAATCTTTATAGCATTTTACTTCATGCCAGCTTAAAGCTAGCTTTAACTGGTTGCCATTGCATTCAGTCATTATTCATTACAGTTCTTTTAGGAAGACTGTGGTTTACAAAGATGCTTATTTTAAAACATAGAGTTTATTCACTTTCTCATTATACAAGCTACACGTTCACCCAGGAATTGTGCAGTTCACTAAATATCAAAGGTGTGTCTTGGTTATGTGTTAAAAAGCCTTTGCCTACTCATTTCTTTAGAGCATCTTCCACCTCAGCCATGCAATGATGTGGAGAAAAGTCATAACTCAGTCAAATTGCCACAAGAGGCATGGACCTGGTACTGATCATCCAAAAAAGGAAAAAGATTAGTAGGTGTAAAGACAACATGTCCCAAAAAGAGCTTGACTGGGACACAATTCTGGCAACACGTTAACATATGTGTGCCCACAACAAGACCTTAGCATGGCTCCAGGTCCCCTGAACCAGGACTTTGTGTTTACTGATGGTTCTTCTATACATTGGTCAAAAATTGCCCCTGAAGCCCCAGCTGGCCCTTCCCCTGGCTGAGCACATTCCACCCTGCTGTCACCAGGTCACTCATGTTGGATAAACGTACCCCCTCGTCAGGATCGCCCCTGGAAGTATCCTGCAAGCCTGCTCAGCCCCTTGTTAGGCAGACAACCACTATTTCCTACTGGTCACCTTCTCGAGGGAGACCTTGCTGATACCTGTCTCATCAAAGCCTTGGCAAGAGCAGGTTTAATAAAGCTCCTAGAAAAATTCAGAGTGTCGGGGCCACATTGCAGCTCTCCAGGTATCACTGACCTAAACAGATCTTCAGTCCTTTGAGCTCATTTGGGAAAAGTTATTATCAAGCAGGCAGTGGAAATATTAGTAATGCCAATTTGAGCATCCTTTTTGTGGGGAATATTTTCAGTTAACGCAATTTAGACACAAAACATTGTACTGTTGCAGTTTCACTGGGAACGTGCTGACAATTATTTTGATTAATTATCAAAGGCTCATGCCACAATTAAAATAAATAGAAGTTGTTTGAAGAGAACGATGCGTTACATTGGTTCTCCATACCCTGTGCTTGCCGTGTGATCGCCTTACCTGTAAGCAGACAAACAATGACTGATAACACATAGTCCTTCATTATCTCCAAAGTACTGAAGAGCTGCAAATGCCTTTTTCAAAGGCTGGATAGATGCGGCACCAGCTTTCGCACCCACAACCTCCGCAGGGCCCCCTTCACCTCCTTGTTCCTCAGGCTGTAGATGAGGGGGTTGAGGGTGGGGGTCAGGACGGTGTAACACACTGAAACCAGCTTTGCCTGATCCCACATGCACGCCTTGCAAGGCTGGATGTAGGCGAGCATCCCGGGCACGTAGAAGATGGTGATGGCAGCCAGGTGGGAGGCACAGGTAGAGAAGGCTTTAAGCCTCCTCTTGGCCAAAGGGATCTTCAGGATGGCGTGGAGGATGCAGGTGTAGGAAACCAAGATCATCAAGGCAGAGCCCAATATGTTAAACCCAGCATCAGAAACCTGCAGGATCTCATTTGCGCGGGTGTTGGAGCAGGAGAGCTGCAGGAGGGTGGGCAGCTCACAGAAGAAGTGGTTGATGCTCCTGGCCTGGCAGAAGGACAACCTCCCTGCCAGGATGGTGTGCACCAGGGAGGTGAGGAAGCCCATGGTGTACACCAGCACCATCATGCTGTAGCAATGCGCCCTGGACATGGTGGTGGTGTAAAGCAGAGGCTTGCACACAGCCGTGTAGCGGTCGTAAGCCATCACCCCCAGGAGGAAACACTCAGAGATGATCAGAGCAAGGAAAAAATATATCTGGGCAAAGCAACCCAAAAAAGAGATATGACTTCTCCCCAGCAGGAAGGTCTCCAGCGCTTTTGGAACGATAGCAGAGGAAAGGCAAAAATCTATGAAAGATACGTGGGTCAGGAAGAAATACATGGGGGTGTGGAGCTGGGGGTCAGCATTGATTAGCAGGATCATGACCAGGTTCCCCAGCACCATTAAAACATACAGAGATAAGAAGATGGTGAAAACGGTGATTTGTAGCTCTGGGACGTCAGAGAAGCCCAAGAGGATGAAGCCAGACAAAACACTGACGTTTTCTCCATTCATCATTTTTACATATTAGATGAATTTGCACAGAAATAAAATTAATCAATGAAATAAGTCTCTAAGAGAGAAACATGGGAGGTTAATCCATAAAGTAAATGTAAGAGAAAAAGGTGTATTTTTTAGACAAATACAAGGCAACTCTATTTCTGCCTTTAGCCCAAGCTTCGAAGTCAAAGAGGTGAAGGAGCTATTTACACACTCATCTTAAAAGATAATAATTCTGCCATGATTTATATACATTGTACTAATGATATGCTAAGAAATAACAAAGTATTTATTCATGTGTGAAAAGTCAAATAAACACATTCCAAAATGTGGAAAAGAGAGAAGATATGGACTCTCACCACTGATTTCTGGAAATTTTAAGGATTTTTTTTTCTTATTTTTTTTTAAGACTGGATCAGTGCTCTTCTGTGGCCTCATTAGTTCTGGTGCAGCCTTTTCATCATGAAGCAAAGCCATTCACTTTAATTTTTTTTTTTAATTTCTAAATTTATCCGCTTTTGAAGAAAAACTCCTCAGTGTGTTGGGTCAGGGATGGAGCAGTATCTCCAGCACAATTTGCTGTGATTGCAGTGAGCTGTTTATGACCAACTCAAATATCCACATAAAAATGTTAAAATATGTATAAACCAAACTTTTTAAAGCTTCAGCTTGGATATTTCCATCTCCCCCATTCAGCCCCTTTGCAGATGAAATATATGATGAAGGATCGATCTATCTACAGGTGTCTACATCTCAGCTGAAATGTCCCCAGATTAGTTGTAGATGGGGTCAGGAATGTGGGGTTTTTTTTTCAAGCAAACCTCCTTACCCCTGCTAGGGCACTTCAGTTCACGCCATGAATGCTCTTGGAGAACACAGATGGGCTTCCTTTAGCTGCAGCTCCACTAGTACATCCCAGTCATGAAACAGCATCCACTCCCCTAGAATAGGCTGAATTAAAAAAATACAGAAGGATGAAGTGGGTGCAGGGGAGTAATTAAGTCCCAGCGCCACTCATTTTACTCTGTCGACCTCAGATCTTCTTGGTCAACATCTCTTGGTAATGGAGATGTGGCTGTAGCTCTGTCTGGATGACTTGTACCCTTCAAACATGCATTTCTCTCTATTGACAATAATTTCCTCGCTGGGATTAAATCAGTTGTGTCAGAGGTGCACGTTTCCATCCCATAGAGGCAACCTGTAGTGACCAGCTCATACGTGAACATGCAGCCCTGGAGAGGACAGTCATATCTTAAACAGCTTCAAGGTTAAGAACATGATAAATATTAAAAAATATTTAAATATCAAATAAATTATAATAATAAAAATATTTTAAATCTTGCCAAGTACAGATGAAGCTACTCTTGAGCATGAGCCTGTGCTGGAGGACTTCACAGAGCACAAGTTTTTATTCTGAATTTTCTTCTCATCTTAACAGGAATGCAGGAAGCTGGCTGCTGTTCAGACACATGAACAAAATAAAAGTATTAATTAGGGGGGTTTGGAGTTTTATTGGTTTAGGTTTGCCAATTGATCATTTGAATACAGAAATTTAAAAAAATTTACTACTGTAACATGAAATTAAAAAAAAAAAAAAAATCCGCTCCTTTTAACTTATTACACCCAGTCCAGCTCCCACAAAAAGGGACTGGTGTACATTTTTCAGGTGTTAATCAATACTAATGTATTTTTTGCAATATGAAGTTTACAAACAGCTAAAGAGATAAATCGGTCAAGTCTCAGTGGAGGCAAAGTGCCAGGTTAAGGGATAACAGAGAGAGCAGCGAAGTGCCAGGCTGGGTCTTCTTGCACCACCTGCACTTAAAAACACTTTCAAGCATGTGAGAGGTGGCACGACAAGGGTGACCGGCTGGAAACGTCAAACCCTTTTTTACCTGCTTGGTTAACAGGAAAGGTGCTGGGAGGTGTGCTGCCTGCAGCTCTGTGAGAAGCCCATCCGATGGGTTGGAGCCACGGCAGGAGAAGAGATGCTGGGGAGCAGCTCGCCCAGGCTGGTTGGCAGAGGGGTTTTATCCCAGATAAAGCATTACCTCAGATGTTTGTGCAAGCCGCTCTCCCTCAGGACCCTCCTCCAGCTGATAATTATTTTGACCTGCTCAACAAAAGCCCCTTTTGATTCTCCTCCAAAAACCTCCCCAGCTGCACCAACACCTCCAAGCCCAGCTCTCCTATAGAGACCTACCCAGGCTGCCCGTGCCACCACCTGATCTTGCAGAAAGACAAATCCAGGACAGTTTGCTTTTTATTTATCCAACTATCACAAACTTCTCTATTTCAGTCTTTCACTAAGAAACCCCTTTGCTACAAACAGGGAAAGCTGATGGATCATCTAACATTGCACTGAAAGGTGCTGAAAACAAACCTAATAGAGCAGCCACTGTGTGAACGGTTTGAGCATGGCCATAGGGAGTTCCCTCCATATTTATTTCCACACACTTTCCTGATGACTGCACAACACTTTGCTCAGAAGCATCATTTTACATAGCTGCTTTGAGGACATAACAGAATTAACTCAGATTTACCAGTTTTATTCCAAAGAATCCTGAGTGCCAGACATTTCCTGAAAGCTTCTTCTGGATGATGAGACATTATAAAACCATTAGTACAAATATTAAATGATAACTTTGTCCCAGACATTTAGAAAACACAAAGGATGGGACAGATGGAAGAGAATACCAAGCTATGAAAGCATTTGGAAGGAAGATGGAGAAGTACGTAGACAGCTTTAGATGGTTTTAATGTAAATTTGTTTTTCTGCCGGAAGACACCAGACTATTAGTCCTGGAGATGTACTGGAGGTGGGCAGAAGGGGATTTTTTCATTTATTTTTTTAATTTCTTTCTTCCCCATTTGGTACTGGACTAAAATGAAGGCTTGTACAGTGGGAAAAAACAACAGAACGGGGGGAGGGGGAGGAAATAACCCCTATTCAATTTTAGAACAATAAAAAAGACACTCCAAAGATTATTTTTCAAAAATACCTGGAAGGCAAAACAATCCACTAAGAATACCTGCTTGGGCAGGGTGAATAGTGCAGACTGAAATCCCAGATACAGACAGCTTGGTAGTGCACTTGCTCCATCACCATTGTAAGACAACCCCAGGCCACCAGCACCTTGGCTGTTTGGGGGAAAGGAAGACCTAAAATCCTCCCTCCCACCCGCACTCTGGCTCTTTACATGCCTAGTTAAACTCACAAAAGAGCAGAGGCTCAAATATGACTTGTTTCCATTTACCATGAGTGCTTTGATGGCTAATACACTGTCACAGCATAATTTCATGTAACCTCACTTTGTGGTCTGGAGCTAAAACTCCTGGAAAAATCAGTTAACATCCTCCTAATAGCAGAAACATCACCAGACAATATCCTTTAATATAAAACATGCGAGGTCAGACACTACTGGTTTGATGTCATCAGGGCAAAGCCACCACCTGCATTCTCACTTTTATTCTCTGAAGCCCAAAATGAAGTTGATTATTATTTTTAAATTATATTTAATTAATAATATTTATTTCAAGTCACATTTAAATAACATTTAATTTGCATAACCACTATCTGCCCAATACACAGTTGCTGCCAGGTCTCAGGCTACAGCCAGGGAAAGTCCTGTCCCTCCTAGCGCAGTGCGTAGCCTTGATTCAAGGAGAAACGTGTTTTCCAGGTGTCCTGCTTCCAGGTGCACTCAGTCCCTGCTTCTTGAAAGTGCGATATCTAAGCCTCCTCACCGTGGCAGGGTAGCCTTCTCCTTTCAGCTGATGAGGAACCATGGATGGACAAGGTGGAGAGGACTCTACCTTTTGCTTTCCTCATGGCGTTCTTCATGTCTGTGTTTCTTAGACTGTAGATGAGCGGGTTCAGCATGGGGACTGCAACAGAGTACAGCAAGGAGACCACCTTATCGTGCTCCAAGGAGTGTCTGGAGCTGGGGTGCAGGTACATGAAGAGGGAGCTGCCGTAGTACAAAGTGATAGAGACCAGGTGAGAGGCACAGGTGGAGAAGGCTTTGTGCCAACCGTCCATGGAGTGGATCTGCAAGACAACGGAGAGGACTGACAAGTAGGAGATTAAGATGAAGACTGTGGTGCTTAGCACATTGAACCCCACCACAGCAGAAACCATCGCCTCGTTGACATGGTTGTCGGAGCAGGAGAGGGCTAGCAGCGGTGGTCCATCACAGAAGAAATGATTGATCCTCATGGACTGGCAGAACGGGAGACGAAATATGGAAACCGTGTGTATGGTGGAGCTGATCACACCAGCTAAATAGGCACCAGCCATCATCCCAGTGCAAAACCTCTTGGACATGGCCACAGTGTAGAGCAGGGGCTTACAAATGGCCATGTAGTGATCATAAGCCATGGCAGCCAGCACGTAGCACTCTGTGGTGGCACAGGTTGCAAAGGAGAAGAGCTGAGCGGCACACCTAATGAAGGAAATAACCTTCTTTTCCACTAAAAAATTCACCAAGGTTTGAGGGATGATGGTTGAGGAGTAGCAGATGTCCAGGAGAGACAAGTGGCTTAGGAAGAAGTACATGGGCGTCTGTAGGCACAAATCGATTCTAATTAATATAATTACTCCCAGATTTCCTATGAGAGTGACCACATAGATGGCAAGGAATAAGACAAAGCATATCACCTGCAGGTCTTCTCGGTTTGTGAAGCCCAGGAGAATAAACTCAGATGCAAATGTAGAATTATCTTCAACCATATTGAATATATAAGCAGCTCAGCTGCTTTATGTCTTTCAAATGGAAATGCTTAATAGGCCCAAATCTGTCAATAATGTTAAGAATATCAATTTTTGTCTATCAAGCAGTTACACCACTTTAAGTCAATATAAGGTAAATTCTCTTTGAGAGAGGAAAACCTCAATTTCCCGAGGCCAGCCTCCCCGTTCAGACTTAGCTAAACACATACTACCACCAGCAACACACTTGGAAGTCGGTGGATATTTAAAGGCAAGGAAAAGGGTAATACCATGCCAGAATAAAGCACAAATAAACTGCAGGGCTTTCTCATAGTTCCTGTCAAGTCATTTACACATAGAAATCCATGATTTTCACAGTAACTGCTGGAAAAATGAAATTAATTGTCATCTTTCAAGTGCTCCCAGTCCAGTGCGAGTACATGAGGAATAAATATCTTTTCCCTGTGTCCCAGGAAGATCTATTCTAGGTGAAAGTACTGGAAAATGCGACTTTCCTTAGCATAATTTTTCCTCATTCAGGATGGTGCAATATAAGAGCTGGGATTTGTCTCACCTCACTTTGATTTAGATGTGATGTCTAACTTGGAGATAAAAGATAAATTCAGGCTTTCTCTCTCTGCTCACTGGGGAGAAATCAGCAGCTCCTAAAATCACACTCTATGACAGATAGAATAAATAAACATTGATTTTTCCTGGATAACATTAATCATCGCTTGACAGAGTTACACCAGAGAGCAAAGCAGGAGTGCATGCTGCCTGGCATCTGACAAACAGATCCAAACTTAAAAGTCATAATTATTTGATGATCCTTTGCTGAAGGGGTGAGGTTCACCTCCAGATCCAGACATCTCATTTTAGATGTCCTGTGAGCAACATGTCTGGTCTCCCGATGTTATTAATGGGGATTTAGAGCTGCTTTTCGCTGCCCACGGAGAAATGCCGGAGGCAAAGCAGCGTCTGAGACATCCGCACGGCGCTGGAAGATGAGTTACAACTAATGAAAATCGAGCTGTTTGGGTCTGGAGCTGAATCCTCCCCCAGAGGCAGCATCCACCTGCCTAGATGTAGACATCTACTGCCATTGGAGAATTGACCTGAATTTCACAATTAACTAAGGCTCACCCACACTTTTTCTTATTTGACAAGCCAACTGCTTTGTGTGGAGTGATCCAAGAGGCAGATATGAAACCTGGGCTGTGTGGAAGGCTTGTGCTGTGCACAATAGCTGCCCGCCAGGAATCACACCTCCCTGAAGCTTGAAGACACTGACTAGAATGGAGATAAATTAAATTAAACACCCATACCTTGCTGCCTCGGATTAGATATTATTCATGCTGACAGGCAGGTCCATGCTCTGCTAAATAACTGCCAGCAAACCTCAAATATTTATCCTTGTCCTCCTGGGGAAAAGGGCCTTAATTTGTGGCACCTGCTTTCCTGTTCAAACTTGGTAAGATCTTGCATCTCCTGGGCAAGTCAGCACAAGACCTTTCAACAAGCTGCCCTAGGACTCACCCAGCAGCCTGTCATTAGTGTTTAGCAAGATTTAACTCATCATGTTCTAGATTGGAGAAAGACCAGCCACTGCTGGGACCCTAGAGCCAAGCAAAGCCTTGCTGTGTGTCCTCCTGGTTACACCTCCATGAGCCTGCTCTCGTGGTAGCTGTTATCCCCAAAAGCGCGGTGTGGGAACAAGGGGAAGGTGCCAGACCTGTAGAGCTAAAAAGCACTGTTTGGGTAGCTGGTGTTTGAAGAGTCTTACAGCCCAAACTATCTAGTGAATGCAGAAAGCCCCGTTAGTAGGATGGTTTAAATTGTGAAGCAAAAGCACCCTGTGCTCACAGCTCCAGCATCCCCCTGGGTTTCTCAGGGTGACTGTTTTTGCTGCCCTAAAGCAGAGCTGTGGGGGACAGTCTGCCACAAATCCGGGGGATCCTGCAGACGTCGCGGGACGAAGTGGGATTTCCACAGCAGGGATTTATTTTGTTTTGCTCTTGGGTCCAACTGAAGCAGTTTTTATATTCGTTGTTTCTCCCGGCTCCAGCCAGGCAGGTATGCTATGTCTTTTCCCACGCAACATCTACCCGTGCTTCCAGAGCTTTGTCCTTTGCATTCTTCACAGATCCGGGGGTAAAACGAGTTGGGGAATAACACCTGAACCTCAAGAGAGCTGTCAGACCAAGCGAGGGCCAGCCCCCACCAAGCCCAGAGAGTCCCAAGATCCTCCACTGCCAGGCCACAATATAGCCGACGGGTTTTTAAAATTAATGACATCAGAAGGTGTTATTTGAACTATACCAGCTCGTAAATGTTGCCTGTAATAGTTTCATACGTCCTAAAAAAAATCCCAAAGGTAGCTTATTGCAATATCTGTGCATAGTGTGTGATATCTGTATTCAAAAGCCTCTTCTTGTTTTGGCCCTTCTTGGAAGAATTCAACCCTCAGTGCAGACTGCACATGATGAGAAATCCAGCACTCCCTTTTTCCAGTTTATGCTGATGTTTACAATGGGGGAAAAAAATAAAAAGGCACTTTCTTTTTCATTTCAATGTATCTGCCTTTATTTTTCAGTCAGAAACTCTTCCCATACTTTGCCCCCAAAGATGAGAGGGGGCTGCACCGCTTCAGTGCCTTCCAGGGAAGGACAAAAGTCACTTCTTTGTCTGTTCAAAAAAACCCAAACCTAGTAGGGCATGATCCCAGTTTTATCCACATAGCACTCAGCGGTTCATAGCGAAGGGTGGGTTTCTTCCCATGAAGGTCACCAGGATGAATCCACCAAACTGACCCAGGAACCGGGTGACTATATAGGCAGCCTCATCCTTTTAATTCAGCATCCGAGAGCACTGAGGGAAGCTGATCACCTGGGGTTATTTAGGTAGTGAGGATGTGATTTACATAAGTCAACAACAGAAAATTAAATTCTTCACCTACATGGGATAAAAGTTCAGATCTCTCTATGTCTTTTCATTTGCCTTTACTGTAAAATCTGGGATAACTTTGTCAGGAGTAAAGATGTGCTGGAGGGTTCCTTTCTGAGAGTGATCTGTAGATCTATAGGAAGGAATAGATGTAGAAAGTAATAATTTAAAATACCTGGCATTATCATTTCCAGGTGTGTATGGATAGCTTGGACTATTTAAGAGAAAAGAAATTCATAAGGCAAAGGGAATTTGATAATCTAAATTCCATACAACCTGAAGCCTCACCCAATAATTGCATTAAGGAAAAAAAAAAAAAAAAAGTGCAGTTTAAAGCATCATTTCTAAATGCAAGGGGAACTTGGTGAGGAGCTTGTTCAAACATCCAACATTGCCTGTTCATTTTTAACAGGCTCAGGAGCTCATGCCGAAAAAAGAAATGGGATCAGCCAACTGTAGAGGCAGTACAATGGTCTTATTTTATTTATATGCTATTTCTCAGTTTCCTGAACAAGGACAAGCCACTTAGCTACCCAAGGCTTGCTAGCACATAAGAAAAAGAAGGTTTTGTCTGAAATTAAAAGGAGAAGATATTTCCAACAATGTCCAACAGATGGTGACGATGTATAAGAAATCCTGCTCAGTATTTTTCTAGCCACTTATTTGGCATTTCCCCCATCCAGCACTGCCTTTTGATATCTGAAAGGGAGTGTTATGGCCATTTTGCATCTCCTGGGACAGAGCACAGTGGTACATAGAAGGAACAAAAATAAGCTGTTTACATATAAACAGGAATGGATTTTATTCAGAAGTAGACGAAATGCAACTTTTGAGAAGGGACACCTGAAGGACAGGTATATATGTACACTGTCATGCCTTGCCAACAACAGTAAGAATCAGCTTCAGGCTGGTAACTTTAGCATCAAAAAATAATAATAAAATAACAATCAATATTTTAAAATAAATTCTAGGTGCTGACCAGGGCCACATCAATGTTTGGGTTATTTTTCACCGTGTTAGAGAGTATTTTTCCCTCTGTTGACAGTTAAGTGACTGCAGGTGGCAAATCCTCATCAGGCCCCAGCAAGCCTTCTCTGTCCCAGCCGATCAACTCCAAATCCCCTCCCAGAGGAGATTGTTAACATGATTTGATCAGGGACACCTCTAGCCTTTGAGTGATGAGCTGCTAAAGAAATAGAAAAGTGGTTTTGGGGTGGAGAGAAAGTATTGTGGTTACTGGTCCCCTGGTGGCATTGCATTTTCACAGCAACCACAAGTGTCTGTTCAGAATATGGTGAAAGGGGGGAGCTGCAATTGCTGGCAGGAGTTACTTCTTACATAAGTAATAAAGACTTTTAATCACCCTCATTTATTTTTGTTTCAGGGTGTTTGAGGTTTTTCTTTTCATTTTTTTTTCCTGTTTTTTTTTTTTTTTTGTGGGTTTGTTTTTTTTTAATTCCTTTTCGCCATTGCCTCACACCAAAGTGCAAATCTCTGGATGCAAGCTCTACTGATAATATATTTGTCTTTGTTTTTAACAAACCACTGTGGGCATAAATTAGGAAACTAATTAGAGCTTCGTTTCAAGGCTTTGAAAGGCAGAAGTTAGAAGAGAAAAAAATGAAAAGACAAAGGTGTATGGTTGCCTAAAAAGAAGTGACAAAGATCAATTTAACCCTGCAATTTAACTCACCAGACTGGTTTCAAAGACAGACCTATTTAAGAATTTATGTTTCATTCACTTGACTTATGCATGATATCCCATTACCCCCTAACTGCATTAAATCTGCAAAGTTTATCCATTTAGATCTTGTGTTTCCATCCTTCCCAGGAAGAGCTTTTCACAGGAGCTGCCTCCTCAACCCAGCCCATGAATCACTGAGACCCCAGCTAAACTGAGGCTAGGGAGTGAACAAGGAAAATCAGTAACATAGGTGTGCTGGCATACACATTTAACACAATAATATATTGCATTATATATAAATATATAGTATAATATACATTTAATGTTTCATTTATATATATATATATGCACACGTATATATGTGTATAACTTGCCATTCATAGGACCAGGGTCCTCCTAGACGTCCTTTCTGATCAAAATTTATTCTATGTCCTGCTCAAAGCAGGGCTGACCTCCCAGTCACATCAGGCTGCTCATGGCCTCATCCAGGCAGCTTTTGAATATCTCCACGGGTGGAGGGTCCACAGCCTCAGGGACAAATCCCTGTGTTACCCAGATCCCTGTATCAGGTTTTGTTGAGGAGGGTTCAGAACCTGGCTATGATTCTTTCTGCTGTTCTCCTCAGAGCATCCTTCACCTCCTGGTTCCTCAGGCTGTAGATGAGGGGGTTCAGCATCGGGATGACCACTGTGTAGAAGACAGAGATCACTTTATCAGTGTTCAGGGAGTAAGTAGAGCTGGGGCGTAAATACATGAAGATTGTCGTCCCATACAACATGGTCACCACTGTCAGGTGGGACGCGCAGGTGGAGAAGGCTTTTTGTCTGCCTTCAGCTGAACAGATCCTCAGGATGGCAAAGGAGATGAAGATGTAGGAGACCAGAATGGTGGAGATGGTGCTGAGCTCAATGATGCCAGCCAAGGAGAAGAGGATCATCTCATTGATGTACGTGCTGGCACAGGACAGAGCCAGGAGGGGAGGAACGTCGCAGAAAAAGTGATTGATGACATTGGAACTGCAGAAGGGCAGCCTGATGATGAAAGTCATCTGTATGATGGAGTTCAGGACACCCCCGATGTAGGACCCCACCACCAGCCGCACACACAACCTCTGAGTTATTACAGAGGAATAGAGCAGGGGGTTACAGATGGCCACATACCGGTCATATGCCATGACAGCCAACAGGAAACATTCAGTCGTCACAAATACGATGTACAAGAAGGCTTGGCCCATGCAGCCAATGAAGGAAATGGTCTTCCTCTCTGATAGGAAGTTCACCAAGGTCCTGGGGACAATCACAGAGGAGAAGCAGATGTCAACAATAGAGAGGCTGCAAAGGAAGAAGTACATGGATGTGTGGAGTCGTGGGTCACCTCGGATGACTATGATTATCCCTGCATTGCCCAAAAGGGTGACGGTGTAGATGAGCAGAAACAGCACAAAGAGGGCTGCCTTCATCTCTGCTTGGACACTCAGGCCCTGGAGAATGAACTCTGCCACTGAGGTGTGATTCCACTCTGCCATTCAGGGCTTTGTGTCTACCGAGGAAGGAGAACCTGAAAATATAGGAAACCATGCCTTTATTTATTTGAATTGAAATGGGATAACTTGTTTATTTACCCACTGTGCAGCCCGGGCACCCAGACCATTCATTTCTAGGGAACTGGAGTGGGATGGACTGCACCGTAGCCATCTGCCCCGAGCTTGGCCTCCAAGGAAAGAGAAGGTCCCTTCTGAAGGGAAAGCATCATCCCAGCTTTCCCAAACACCTCCCCCGCCTGCAGCAAGTCACTGCAAAGGGTCTTTCTCACTGTGGGCAGACCTTTGGGCAGGTTCATTTGTACCACAGGATCCCATTTTGGTACCTACAGTTTGATAAGATCGATGGATATAGCAGCAGATAAGGATTCAGGTGACACAGACCCAATCATCAGCTCTGCCCTTGACCTCCTGTGGTTAAGTCTTTATCCACATTTATTTCCCTTCCTCCCCATTTCAAACTGATCATGATAAGGTGCCTAGAACAAGACAACTCTGATTTTGGCAGCAGCTTCTGGTTATAATTGTAATAGCTTGGAGTAAGAGTGAAAATACTGTAGTTTTCCTTTGTCGCTTTTGGAAAAGACACTGAGGTATTAAAAACCAACCAACCAACCAACCAAAACAAAACAGTCTAATTTGTTGGGAACTAGGGTTGGAGAGAGGAAGAGGGTGCTGCATGATCATAAAACTCATTCAGGACATGAGGAGTTTAATATTACAGTCTCAGAAACATTGGGGAGATGAAGCCAAGGAAACCATGAGCAAAATTTGGGCCCCAAGCTGTTACTTTCAACTGGGATAAGCATCAAGTATTTCCTTGGTACAATCTAGAGAATATACAACTAAGAGACTTAACACGATAAAGTCTGTCTTGATTTCCCCATGACAAACAAAGGTACTAGCTGTGGTGTTAGGGTCCTGATATAAAGAGTTTATGTGAGTTTAACAAATGATGAATCAGCCTTTCGATAAGCGAGTCTGTCACATCCCTGTTTATGGCTCCCCTCGCTGTTCTGCAGCAGTCCACGGCACCATGAACCGTTGATGACTTTAATCATGCCTTGTATTTCCAGAAGTGGACTGGGAGATGAAACCTGATTCACAGAAGTGATTTAAGTGTCAGAAGGCAGCTGTGACTGTTTATGAATGTGAACCAGCTGTAACATACTAACTAAACCCGGGCAAAAGTGGGATTCATAATGCTGTCCTGAAATATGGTCACACCTGGTGCTCTCCCCAGTACGTAATCCTGTCCCCCCCTTTAAGCACTGGAAGTCTCCCTAAGGTCTCCCCAGAGCCTTCTCTTCTCCAGGCTGAACCCCCCCAACTCTCTCAGCCCGGCCTCCCAGGGGAGCTGCTCCAGCCCCCCCAGCATCTTCGTGGCCTCCTCTGGCCCCGCTCGAGCAGCTCCGTGTCCTTCTGCTGTTGGGGGCCCCCGAGCTGGACCCAGCACTGCAGGGGGGTCTCCCCAGAGCGGAGCAGAGGGGGAGAATCCCCTCCCTGGCCCTGATGCCCCCCCTGCTCTGGCTGCAGCCCAGGGCACGGGGGGGTTCTGGGCTGTGAGCACACGGTGCTGGCTCACAGGCAGTTTTCCCCCCACCAGCACCCCCAAGTCCTTCTCCACAGGGCTGCTCTCCAACCACTCCTCACCCAGCCTGGATTTTCAGCAGGCAAAACCCCAAGAGCTCCTGCCTCTCCTTTCAGCTGGAAGAGGAGTCAACACCACAGATGAGACCACGGAGCTGTGCTGAACCAAACCCACTCTACTCCAGTTGCCTAAGTTTAGTCACCTAGTTAAGCTGCTTGCCCTAATGAAAATGCAGGTTTCTGTCCCTGATAACATGAAAGTTCAGAATAAAGCAATTAAATTTTTACAGGATTAAAAATGAATATCTGTCTTACTCCACCAGATGAGTGCCAGGATCAGAAGACTCATTGAAGAACCATTCTCCATCAGCAGAATATGTCTTTGTAGAAATATTCATTACTTTTTAAAGTGGATATCACTTTATTTCAGGGTCAGTGAGTGGGTTAATCTTTCTTTGAGAGTGTTCTCCTCTTCTCCCAGGCTCCTTAAAAAATACCATAAGCACCATGATTTCTGATCTTTTCATTTCAAAATACTGAAATGTATCCCAGCAGGAATATTTCATCTTCTTTAACCAACACAGAGGAGCAAAGCTTCACCTGGTGTAAATCAGAGCAGCGTCCCCAAAGGTAACATTGCTGCAGTGATTTACACTAGAGGAGGGTAGTTCCAGCAGAACTCACCTGGACCTTCTGGGGAATGGTCACACCTACCTCTGGCTGGGGGTCACCTCCTCTTACCAGCTGCAAGGTCTCATCCACTTTGGATGACTCTCTGGGCTCAGGACATCTGCACAGCAAATCTGGTGGCCTAACCCTTGAAGCCATCCTCCTAGCTTCCAGATGAGTGGGAATGTCTCTCCTGAGCGTTCAAGAGCCTCCTGCATGTTTTCATCAGATGAAGTTCTTCGCTTGCAGCAACGTGTTGCTTTTATGTGTGTCTCTGCAGGTCTTTGTGGGCTACGGGCACCCCTCCTCAGGGAGCAAGTGTTTGTCATGGCTTTGGCTACAGTTCAGGTCTCTAAGAGGAGGGAATCTTGATTGTATACTGCTGGCTCCTTGATGTAAATTCATGAGAGCCACAACAGTCTAAACTAATAAAGTCTCAGCTATATATGCAGAGGATGCAAAATCCTGTGCTAATTATTGTCACAAATATCAATAACCTGTTACAACACTTGGCAGCCTTAAGTGGCAGAAAAGGTAGAGATCCCAATGAGCACAAATTATTCATCACAAGCCCCTCTAAAAAATCAAGGGGGAGGTGAGAAGGTGTATCCAAAGGGCAATTTATTCCAAGTATCTTAACCACCTACTGCAAGCAGCTTAGGCTGTTGTAATTAGCTCTGGATGGGTGCCTGGAGCAGATGGCTGGGATTACAGGAGATGGAGGCTGACCCCAAGCCTCCAGACAATGAATTGGCCTGAAAGGCTTCCAATCTACTCACTGGTAGGAACATGATTGATAGATAGTCCATCAAACCTTTTTACTCTGCTCCAGATATTTCCAGAAATATTGCAGCTCCCCATTCTTTCCTCCCTTTTGTAGAGATCCAGGTCATTCTGCTGTGCCACCCCTATTGCAAGATCAAAACCTTCACATCACAACCTATTTTGAAGAGAGATGGTGCTAATTCAATTCTTTCTGCAAACTTTTTTTTTTCTTTCTCTAGCTAACAGAAAATTTACGGCATACTCATGGTAATTTCAGTGTAATTTGTCTCTGCTCAACACACTCAACAGATACCAGCTTCTGTCAGCATCTGGAACATTTTCAGGAGTTTAAAATTCCCACTGTTTCTTTCAGTATAGCTGATTTTCCCTTTAAATAATAGAAGCCTATGCTTTTAGATTCAACCGACAGCATGGGTAGTGACCATTTAAATAGCAGTTCATATTTGGATCATATTTGATCCATAGATGGGATTTATTCATTTATCAGTTGTCAATAACATTAAGCACAGAAATGTGAGCCAACTGCCTAGGCTCTCTTTGCAGTCAGAAATGAAGGTGGTGGTTCAGCTGTTCAGACATGGGTATCCAGAACTATCTGAGACCCACCATACATCTCCCCTGCTTCCCCAAAAGGGCACAGGTCTCCCTACATCTTGTGGCGTATCTGCCAGACCTGTGTCCATATGTCCTGTGGTGTCTTCAGGTGGAATTAGAAGGCTCAATAGACTCAGTGTAGCCTGGAGGAGGGTTTGCCATCTCCAGAGGAGCCCCACACATACTCACATGAACAGACAAGTTCTCCATCAGTATTTCTGAGACTGTAGAGAACTGGTTGAAAGAAGGAGACATGGGATGGGTTTGGGCTCACCTTGCTCCAGGTCAGCATGACCTATGGACCTACACATGAGCAATAAGAGTCCCAGCTTTTCTTCCAGTCTGTCAACTCCAATGGTGTGATTCAGTTCGTCAAAGAGGTGGCAGAAACTCTACAGGACTTACAGGATGCCATGACCTTCTGGAGGAGCAGCTGGAGCCCAGCAGGAGACCTTCAATGACACCAGAGACCAGAGCCAGCACAACCAGCAACAGACCAGCAAACCCAAATATTGACAGAGAAGAGCAGTACAGATCGCTGTGCTGACCCCAGACAAGTGTTTTGGTTGGGTTTAGCTCTACAAAGGGCAATATTTTAACAGCAGGGTTTATATTTGGGGAGTTTGTGCCAACACTTTCAGCACTGATTCAGATTTTCCCCCACTTTATTGCCAATCCTGCAGGTACAACTCAAAACACCCCTTCCTCCTTGAAAAGGTCAATAAAAACATGCATTCCATTTATTTCCAAAATAAATTCTTTTTGCTTCTTACAAAAGAATGACAAAGATGAAAAAACAATTTGGAGAAAGCAATTACACAAATAGTTTTCCAGTAATGAGATATAAACCTTTGAAATGTTTATCACCAAATTCTCCATCCCTCTCTTATCAGCTATGCAGCTGTGGTGTGCATTGCTGCATCTAAGGGTATTTTTGGCCTATTCATTTTCCCCTTATAATGGAGAAGTGGAAATGAGGAGTTGCAAATAAAAACCCATGAAAATAGTATATAAACTGAAATCTAATATGTGGAAGGGATATGACCCATAGGCTGGGTGGGTTTCAGCCTCCATAAATTCAGAGGTCTTGAAATTATATATGTCAATCATGCTACATTTCCTATATTCAGCATACTATGTCCTTATGCAACATATTTCGCCCAAGCCATTTTCCATGTTTATTTTAACAAGAATCATGGGGTTTTGTTCCTGCTAGGGAGGGAGACTAAGATCAGATTTAATGTTTGCCAGTTAAACTTCAAATTTGGCCAGCTATTCCCACAGCTAATGGTCTTCAGATACAGATAGTTACATGCTTTGATAAAATTAGAGAAAAAATTAGAAATATTAGGTTT